ATTCACTATTTCTTATATATTTAATTGTATTTAAATTTTGTTTTTTTAGCGACAAAGGCTGTAAATCGTCCAACACTTAATAATACTTTCATCTATTTCACAGATGCTGCTAATACTACTACACCCGTTGCAAAATTTGATTGTGGTTGGGACCCTAATGTCATATATACAGGTTATACAACTATCATTCGTTTTCCAGTTGCACCATGGATTCCTGGACATTTTTATTATGTGACATTTGATACTGGTATGTATAAGTTTATTAATCGTACACAGTATTTTCAGTTAGCATGTTATTATTTTGTTTGATTTAAGGTGTTGCTAGCGGAACTGAATTTTGTGGTAAGTAATAGTTTATTAATTATATCGATTAATAAAGAGATATAAATTAAATGATACATCATTGAAGGTCCTGAATCTGCTCCGATTTATGATCCAACATATTGGGTATTTAATATTTGGGATCCAGCTGTATCATCTACAACAACAACTACTACTACTCCACCAACAACTCATACAGTCACATCCTTACACACAACTACTACTTCTATTAATACTGCAGTAAGTTTATCTAGACTGATATTTATTCGTAATATGAAACTTTTTCATAGTGTACAACATCTGGTATAGTGGCAACTACTACGACTGCTGTTACAACTACAACAACTGTCACTACTACAATTGCAACTACAGCTGGTAAGAAAAATGTTATTACTTTTCTGAAAGTATTATTATAATTAATTAACTTCTGTTCTATAGCTCCAACAACAACGGCTGCAACTACTGCAAGTGCATCAACTGCAACTACTGTTCCTGTCATGTATCCTCAAGATTTCGTAAGTTTCCAATTATGTAAGACTAATATTTAACACATATATGTCTATCAGATAAATGCATGTAAACAACCAGTAGCAATTATGAGTGCTGTTACTATGGCTGCTATGGTTCCTATACAAGCTTTAGTAATGTATGCTGCATTTACGAAGTTTTCCAATATGTTTAATCCATTGAAGAAGAAAGCACAATTAAGACATGCACAACGAATGAGAAAGATTAATATTAATCGACGTTGAACATTTTTTTTTTCTTCGGTGAACATTTGACACTTTTTTTCTTTTGATTTACCATATTTTTTTAACGACATATTTATCTTTATTTAATCCCACTTATTTTTATTTAATTTTTATAAACTAAATCTTCTTTTTCGTTTTCTATTTCATGAAAAGATTGCATTCTATATGAACGATAAAGTAGGAATTATTAAAACTACATGGATTTGATTTAACACGCATTCGAGTTCTCGTCATATGAATAATTTCATCTTCTGATGAACTCCACGTGTATCATAAAAATATTTCTTAATGATAGATTGTATGTTAAAATATAACTTTTTTTTTACGAAATTATACTATTAACTTTCTAAAGGGAAATTAAATTTCATTTGAAACTAATATCAATTATTGATTCCCATAGTAATGCATTTTGGCTACAATGAATTTTTTATGCAATTTCAATATGAAAATTTTTTGAATTTAATACAGATTCCAACTGTACATATTACAACGAAAGGATTTATGTCGAGTGCCCCAACATTTGTACTTATTTAACTTGTCAAAAAAAACAAATCAAATATAAAAATGTCTTTCACATGTGATAACAGTAAAATACCTGAAAATTTCCTGTCCAAAACAATATTATATAAACATGCGAAATCAAACAATTATCAAATAATATACCACTTATTGATCGTACAAATTATCAGCAATCTTCATCATTGATGCAATTAATAATCCACAAGAAATCATGCTGTATGCAGAATACAGTAAATCAAATCGATATACCATGTTCACCAATCCTATCGGATCTTCTATCTCACCCATTTTGGATGAGTTTCTCTTTACTGCTTTATTATGCACATCTAATTCTTAGAGATATTCAGATTATTAATTATTAGTTATGACATAGTTGGAGAGATTTTCAAACATCTTTTAAAATCAGTAGTGATTAACAAGATTTAATAAGCGTAATTGCAACACGTTTGGCTCACTTGTAATTGTATTTATAAGATCCAAAAGGACTAAAGGATGAAATACTATGTAAAGCAAAGTAAAACAGGAAAGACTTGATTTTTTGTGTGCCCTCTCCCTAAATAAAAGTTATAAAAACTTGATACAAGTGAAGAACATGGGACTTTTATTTATCAAAGCCTAAAGATGCTGATTACGTGAGGGTGAGCAATGATTTCTTCGTCAATGCCACTAGTGCTTTATAAATTTTTGAAATTCTTTCTATATCTAGATTCATATTCGTATGTTAAAATTAATTGATAAGATTGTTTTAAAGATTTTATTTTTTTCATAATAATCAATGCGAAAATAAGATGGTATCGAATTATTTTTTGACAGTTCAATCAATGTTATTAAGAGTATCATTTATCTGCATTTTGACACATCTTGCCTACAATTCCCGAGCCAAAAAGCGCAACCCACCAGATAATTAGGGTATAGAATGCAAATGAATACAGAGTACGGTTACAGTATGTTTTGATATCACCCGGATTGTCATATTGAACATATCGTTTAATACTAAATGTCATATAGCCACCAGCTACGATTAAGAAAACCACTAAAGTTAATAGCAGAAAGATAAAACAAACAAACCAACATATTAAATTGTCACATTTTTCTATCCGTATACATCCGATGAAACTCATTAGCAGCGCTATGGATGCAATACCTACGGCGATTAGATATGTAGGTATATATTCCTGTATTGGGCACTCTTGTCGATAAACAACCCCAATCACAACGCTTGAAATACAGAGTCCGACTGCCACAACAAGTAATAGACCAATAAAACAACGCATAAAATATTTTTCGAAAGTGTCACAATCCAATACATCTGAAGAAACGTTATCTTGTCTAGTTGATTCTGTCTGAGTAACAATTACGCCTTGAGTACGATTATTCTCCAAGGTAATTATAACTGGTATTGAGCGTTTCGTATTTTCATGCACCAGAGTACGTACATCGTTAAGTGGCGTTCGAATCGTTTCATTGATTATTTCTTGATTCATAGAATTCTCCATCCAAGCAAAATTATCAACTGTCGATTTGAAAGAAACAAAAACTCTTAATGTATTCAGGATGGTTAAAACACACGTTTTATATTCAAAGAATTAGATAACATTGCTATTCTTATCGTAAGATAACAGTAGGAAGAGAGCTACAAATGTAAGCAGTTAAAAATATTATACACTGTAAAAAATAACAGTAGAATACAGAATCTTGAGAGTGTGGGTGAGTTTACAAAAGAAATAATAATTCCTAAGCTATACTTACGATGCGTTTTGACCTTGCTTAAGGATTCCATCAGTAGGAAGTTGCGGATCCACATTTTTCTCGACTCAAACCCTCGAAAAGTTAAAAGTTCAGATCGGAGTCAACCCACATCATAAGACATTTCTCATCTATATTTTACTTTCACCAATGTATAGAACGGGATTAGATTTCATTTTATTACGTATATCTATGTTATTCATCACTAAATGATATATCGCACATGTATTCTATTTGATTTATGACAATAATTTGATTATGAGTGAGAGTATAATAGATTTTTTTCATCGAGAAGGGCATAAAAATAGTGACATGATCTTACAACTATTAACAAATCAATATTTCAATAAATATTCTACTTTCATCTATAAAAATAGACAAAGTCATTGAATAATATTCGCAATAAGATTACGATGACCTATAATAGATTTAATAGATTTCTCAATAAAAATGAATAACTATCTTCTCTTATCATAATTATACATATTTCTAATAAATATTTGCTCTCATTAAATTTTGCTCTTTATTTCTCGTTCTTCTTTCTATATCGAGAGTTCCTATTACCAAACTCGACATAATCATCATCGATATAGTATTAACTAAAACATACAAAATCATTATTAATGGTTTAATATCTTTACTAATCATTGTTATCAATTACGATTGAAAAAGTAAGTCTTTAATTGATGAATAAGACACATCCTATTCTATTCTCTATTATGAAATATTATTTTCTATAAACACAATAATATAATTGTACTTATTCGTACTAATTTTCAAAATAAAATAAATGATTTTGATTTATACAATATAACTCAATATTAACTTTTAAATTATATTCATCTCCAATAATCATAGAAGATGATGAAATCGTCAAATGAGTTCGTGTACTTTAGTTACTGAGAAAAGTTTTAATCATTTTTAAAACATTATCCTTTATGTTGATTATTTACCTTGGTTTTACTCAATAAAATAGCAGTAATTAATTAACTTCTATTCTATCGCTCCAACAACAGCGACTGCAACTACTGTTCCTGTCATGTATCCTCAAGACTTCGTAAGTTTTCAATTATATAAGACTAATATTTAACACATATATGTATATCAGATAAATGCATGTGCACAACCAGTAGCAATTATGAGTGCTATTACTATGGTTCCTATACAAGCTTTAGTAATGTATGCTGCATTTACGAAGTTTTCCAATATGTTTAATCCATTAAAGAAGAAAGCACAGTTAAGACATGCACAACGAATGAAAGATATTAATCGACGTTGAACATTTTCTTCTTCAAGGAACATTTGACATTTTTTCTTTTAGGTTTATCATACTTTTTTTAACGACATATTTATCTTTATTTTAGTTTTCTATTTAATGAAAAGATTGCATTCTATATATTTTCGTACATGAATATCAACCAACAATAATAAAAAAAAACAGTTAGGGGACACCCGGGATTGAACCAGGGACCTCTCGATCTGCAGTCGAATGCTCTACCACTGAGCTATATCCCCCATGATAAATTTCAATGACATAGTTCTACAGAGTTTAGAACAAAAAACTTGTAAAAGATTCAAGTTAAATATATTGCGATGAAAACTAAATACAAGAAAATATGATAACGATAAAATGTTTCTGTATATTAATAAATGATATTTTTTATCGAATGAAAAAATATTTTGATAGATGCATAAAAATGTGAGAATATGAATAGCTTGTATGAAAAGATAATTGGGTTACTATGAGATTAATAAAAAGGATTTGAAGAGTAATTATGTTGAAACTATTTAAATTACACAAGTACTTTTTCAATAAGAATATTATACATTATAGAAACTGCTATGACTAATTTTTTTTAAACAAAAAACTATACTACGATTAACTTAACAGACAAAGATCGTTCAAAAATAAACAAAGACTTAGTATCTTTTAAATTGATAGGTTTTCTTCATTCATCAAATAATTGTAAGATAGTACTTCAATGAGTATAAATCATGAATAAAATCTTGAGAATGAGTATATGGATATAATTGATAGTTTATTATGAACAGAGACTTTAGGAAAACGACAACTTTCAAAAACAATGATGAAATAAGGTGTGGGTGGGTACGGATCTGATTCTGGATATTCAATTCATGCATCATCCATTCACGCACACCCGCATCCCACCCTCTTTATCAATAAAAAAACTGAAACAGTCGTATCATTCAATAACTCTTCAAACGGAATCACGAATGTCATTGGAATATTGCGAGCCTTCATGTAATTGTCTGTTTTATCATCTTAATTGTTCGAAAATCTTTTTCCTATCACCATTCACACATTAGTATAGTTATATATTCAAGTTTTTTTTCTTTGATTTCGAAGATTATTTATACATACTATTCAGTAAAAGAAGTACTCATTTTAGAAGAAAAAAAACACTCTCAGTTTCTTTGAACCATCGTGCTCTATCGTCGATCGTCTTTTGAAATAATATTTCTCAAGTGTAAACTATACTTATAATGCTTAATAAGATATTAAACATGACTAGTACATGATGAGTAACATGGGTAAGAAACATTAATTCCAAATATATCAGAAACGATACGATAATTCCAATAATAATTATAGCGAATAAAAGAGAATAAAGAATAATTTGAAATATTTTCATGCCAGTCGGTTGATTTTTCATCGTACCTCGCACAAGACGATAAGTAGCGTTAGGTTTCCAAATATAGAATTCGTAAAGTACATCAATAGAAACAACAAGTAAGATAGGAAATTGAATTGCTAATACGATATATGTAAACATATTCGAAAAGATCATAAATGTTGTTGCTCGTAATTGTAAACAGGGTGTTACATAATTGAATGCAAATAAAACCATCACTGGAATACTCATGGAACTTTTATAGAGAACTGATCGTAAAATACGAAGAAATTTAGTACAACCATGAATATTTTCTTTGTGCATGTATTCGAGAATAGAACCAACAATACTGTTAATAAATGCCAACATCAACGCTCCCCAGAAACAAAATAAAAATAAAAAATGTCTTTTACTACGTATAACAAGCCAGTCGACTTCACCATAACTGTACGTTGTTCCAACAAGTGTACAGTCGTCTTTCTGATGTCCATGTTTTACTACCATATATGTGTGATTAGTAATACTTTCATAGCGATATTTGCCTTTCTTTGTATATTGATAAAATGAATACAAATGATAGATAAATAAAAGAAGGGTCACTATAATAGATACAATGAGTAATATGATACGAATAATGTTTGGCATTGCTTTGAGCAGAATTTGTTATAAAAACTCACTACAAATAAAAGTAGACAGCGTATGTAGATTTGCTTTCTGTCTTTTAAAAACAGCAGAAGCAATGAAATATGAAAGCAAAAAAAGAATCATATTCAAGCGTCTATTTTTCTTTCTTTATATATATATTCTTACCTATACATTCATCAGACAATGAATAATCAAAAAAAGTAAAGAAAAAAAACCGTTTACTGCTGAGTAATATGCATCTAACGTCTACGACAGAAAAAAAAGGCCTTAAAATAATTCACGGCGAAGCAGTTTCAATCGGACGACCATGAAAAAAACAGATGCAGAGCAATATTAACATATTTTATTATACAAAAGAAAACTTTTCTATGGTCGAAGAACACGTATTTGTATAGGAAGAGGAAAAAACTATCGAGTATGCATCTCCATCTTGCAATTCTATTTCAATTTACTCTTATAAAAAAGATAGATTATCGCCCGGGGGAGAATCGATTAAAATTTGCCACAGTAACTATCAAATCGAACGACTACTGAGTTACTCTTGTGATTAACGAGCAGATAACAAAGGTGTATGTCTTCTTCTTCTTCTTATTCTTCAGCATACACCCGTATCTTAAAACATCTGCTGCGATATTGAGTGATATAAAGCAAACTTTACCTTGAAAATGATGTATAGTTACTTCGTCAGTAATAAATGTTTGAAGCCACGAAATCACAGGAGCACTTAAAAAGCTATTCATTGAAAAAAAAGTATATACATAAAATAATATAAATGAGTATTTTACAGAAATAAACTTCTTTTCCTATTAAAGAAAATTTTTACTGACTAGATTAAATTAATGATAACATGAAGAATTCATGAAATTAGTAACTGAGATAAACATATCCGAGTTGATATGAAAAAAAAATTATAATTAAATTTTAGAATACAATTTCTAATGAGTAATAAGGACATCTTTGTGCAGAATATAGTACATAAAAATACAAAATTTCCTGAAATTACTATATGCATTAGCTAATTTTTTATCATTATTTCATATTGAAATATTAACTAATACATATCTGTCGGAACTAGGATAGTTTAGTATCTAATATACGAAACCGTAAATGAGCTTACGGAATCTACAGAGTTTCGTGTCAGATTTTCTGAACTTAAATGATATATGATATTCTTGTTTATATGTTACAGTGAATTAATTTATAATAAATTATAACGTAGATGACTCTGTCAACCATTTCGTTATGTAAACATGACTTCTATCGGTTACCTTCAATTACCAATAAAATTTTGAAGTGTCATATGAAAATTAAACATCAATCATTTACTAAAATTAGATGCAATCTGCTGTTGAAAAACTTCGTACATATCGTGAAGAAAATTATCGTTCATATGATGAAATCGTTCAACTATGGACAGAAGTTTTATCTAAACGTAATTTATCATCATTAGGCGATGAAAAATGGTTAATACTTGAACAAGTATTTAAATCTGCTCTACATTCTTCTCGACGATCAATTGCTTATGAATGTCTTGAGCAATTAATAAAACAATTTCAATCAACAAGTCGTCGTATATCTATATTACAAGGAATGTATTACGAATCAATAGGTGAATATAATAAAGCTGAAGAAATATATTCAACATTATTGAAAGATAATGAAACAGATGGAATTGTACGTAAAAGACAAATAAGTATTTTAAAAGATCAAAATAAAATAAATGAAGCAATCAGTGAATTAAATTCATATTTAGAAGTTTATCAAGTAAATAGAAAAATGTTTTGTAATTTATTCTTATGTAATTTATTTAAGGCTGATCAAGAAGCATGGAGTGAATTATGTGATCTTTATTTATCGGAACATGATTATAAAAAAGCAGCATTTTGTGCTGAAGAACTTCTTTTAATAAATCCACATAATCATTTAAATCATCAACGTTATGCATCGATTTGTTATTCACAAGGTGATTATGAAAACGCTCGAACTTATTATTTTAGTACAATTAAATATAATCCAAATAATATACGAGCTTTATATGGAATTATATTGACATCAGCACATATAAAATCAACAACAAATGTTGAAAATAATAATATAATTATCGAACAGATACTTAAAAAATACAAAGAACAAGCATCTGATCTTCTTCCAATTGTTGAAAAGACATTACAAGATTTTATCTGACCGTTACATAGTATTTTTTTATTTATTTATATAATAAATATCTAATATTTTTTGGCAATGACTTTGAAAAATATGCCCGTTCGGAGTGATGTGAGTCATCGGTGACTCATGATATATTTTAACGAAAAAAAACGAATTTTCTTCTTTTTTCCTAAACAATGAATTTGTCGTAAGCGGTACAGAAAGTTTTGAATCTGTTTACTATCGTTGCATTTAGTTCTTTTTGTTATTATTGACTGATTCTTTCATAGCAGTCAGCACATTGTGTACATAAATCCTTTCATTCTATAGTCACGTTCACATCCTCGAAACTCTGTGTGATTATGAAAAATTATTTAAATTAAAGATAAATTTATTTTATTGTATTTTATCTATAAGATTAGCGATGTATTCGATACATCTGTATCGTTAATACGAGAGAATCAATGTTAAGAAAAATAAAACTAGTGAATTTGATCAACGTGCTAGTTTCTTCACAACTTTTGCGAATTGATGCCCTTGACTTTTAGCAAGATCCAATTCAAGTTCACTTGGTTGTCTTGAACCGTCACCGGCAAGTGTACCCGCACCTAAATACGATGAAGAAAAGAAAATTTAGAGAACAAAAACAAAATGAATGAATTTACCATATGCTGATCCACCATGTACTTCATCATTGCTCTGTAAACGTTTATTCTTATAACCGAGTGGTACAAAAATCATCCCAAGATGAGCAAAAAAGGTCACACAGGTGAGTGCTGTAGTTTCTTGACCACCGCCGATCGAACCTGTTGAGAAGAAGACGCCTACCTATTACAAAAGTATATGATAATATTCTAAGAGAGAGTAAACGAAAAAACTTACTGGCTTGCCGAAAAGTGCATCAGACATCCAGTGACCACCACATTGGTCAAATAGAGCACGGACCTGTGTTGGTGTCGAGCCAAAACGAGTAGGTATACCAAAAATGATACCATCAGCCTCGGGTAACTGTTCGGCTTTGATAATTGGTATTTGGCTATTCTTTTCTTTAGCATGCATTTTAGCAAGAACTTCAGCGGGTAATGTCTCAGCTATTTGAAATAGACGACATTCACAGCCTGTAGATTCAACACCGTCACAGACTTCTTTTGCCATACGTTCAATATGTCCATACATCGAATAATAGATTACAAATATTACTGGACGTCTCTACATTTGAATAAAGGAATTTCCTTTCACTCTGAGACATGTAACAAATCTACTTACTCTATCACTGCGATGGTGTCTACTGCTTGCAGTTTCTGTAGATCTCGATGATTGACGTCGCTCTGGCTCATTATTTTGGGAAACAGTCGACGATGCTATTGGCCGTTGTTCACCACTTCTTTGAGAACCACTATAAACATACACTATAGTATTTCGAACGAACCAGTAGAAAATAAGATTACTAACCTTTCTCGTTGTTGACTAATGGGTTGTGAAGCGTAACTGGACATATTGTTAAAATTATTTATCTGGAAATCGTTTAAATAGAAACAATTCATGTCAAAAGTTCTGCTGTTGCTTCCTTTAACAGACTATCTACAAGACTTCTTATGCCATATGTGATATGAAATCGTAATAGTAATGTTAATCTTTCATAGTTTTTTATAATGACAACAACGGTGATGAATTCATTAGTATCTTCTGCAGATCCTTAGGAACTCTCCTCGTCATCTTTCTTTTACTAACAGACTTGTTACCTTACCTTACCTTACCTTTATTTTATGTAACTAACGTCAATATAATTTCCATGTTTATATAGTAGAGATAAAATACGGAGTAAGAAAAACAACGTAATATACCTCTGTACACTAATATAACATGATGACGACGCAAAAAAAACCGCATCGTCACTATCAATAACAAATATCTTTCAAAAAGCAATCATAACGATGTTTACTAAAGTATGGTGATGATGCGTTTTATTTAGCAAGAAAAATTGTAGTGAGTACCAATATATTGTTCTTATATTTTGTTTGCATCGATTAAATACACTGACGGAATAACAATTTTTTTCATAAAAGTACAATTATGTTATCAGAGCGACCGACAAAATTATTGCACTACTTTTAGAAAAAAAAATAATGAAAAAAAACACTCCGAATAAAGAGAAAATGATTCGTACATTGTTTTGTCATACATAAGATGAGAATAGGGAAAAAATTCACAGCTGTTACTATCAATATAACATATCTAAAAAAAAAAAAACTTTTACAAACACTACTGAAATAGATATGTTATGTAGCACTCAATAAAGTAAAGCAAAGCTCCCAAAATATTGCATCAAGCATCTGTAAATCTGCAATGAATTCTGAAAGTCAGGATACACTAGTTAAATTTTTCTCCAAGTCTATCGTAACCGAATTGAGATATTTCAGAGCCAGTAGATAACTAGTTGATAGATTTTGAAATACATTAATTTTTTTCAAACAGTTCAAATTTTTGTTTTTGCGGTTATTTTCGCCAGCGGTTACACTCATTAAACATAAAATGTCATGATCAACCGCTATGCATTAGGAGAGTTGTACATAAAACAAACAGAACAAATCATCTTGCGTGTCATTTACTATGAAATTATTGTTTATCACGAAATAAAACATTTTTTTTTCAATTTGTTTCATGTTTTTCTTTGCCATTTATTGGTTTTCATTCAGAAATACTTCGGTCGCTCTTTGCATGAATTATTCAATCTCGTATGGCATAAAATCAAATAATAACTACGCATCTCATGTTCAGAAATATCTATAAGAGAAATTGTCATAAAAACACCAATTAGTACTATATTCTAGAGGTGTACACTGTTTGTTATAAATCGACCAACTAGTTAATCATCAGATAACGAAAGAAATCGGACTTGAAGTGGATTGACTGATTTATATGTGTACATAGTATTCTCCTCACGTTTTTCTGTGAAGTAAATAAATACGAATATGTACGACTGCCATACTACTTGATTTTGAATTGAAAAGGCATGGGCATATTTTTTCGAGATGATTCTACCTTTTAATGGATATCCTGAACATGAAATATAAAGGAGAAATATAGTATACATATATAATTCTTCTTCTTTGAAGAAAAAATGTTATTCGTTAAGTGTACACGATTGACGTAAATATAATATAAGAACAGAATATTGATACTCATTACGATTCTTCTTATTAAAACGCATCGTCACCATACCTTAGTAAACATCGTTACTATTGCTATTTGAAAGATATTTGTTATTGATAGTGATGATACTTTTTTCTTGCGTTGTCAACATGTGATATTATTATATACAGGTATTACTTTATTTTTCTTATTCTTCACAAGAAAGAATAAATCTAAATAGACTCGTTGTATTTATAAAATAAACATAAAAATTAATAAATACAAAAAGTATTGTTACAAGTTCCGACAAACCTAATTCAATGCACACCCTAAAAATTCCATACATTAAAAGTAATAGAAAAGATTTTAAATCGAATGAAACTTCATTTTTTTTTATTGAAAATTTTGTCAACAAATGTTTTAAGTGTTCTAAAAGATATTAAAAAAAAGTATATTTGTTTCTCAAAGAATCAACATTGTTCTTCAACAATGTTTGCATTTGGTATACGTTCAAAGCGAATAATAAATAATGGTAATATTTGTTTTGATTGAAATAAAACAATTTCTTTATTTTCAGGTGATAGATGTGAATCAAAGTCAGATTCACAAACTTGACCATATTTTTCACCACCTTTTTTAACAATATACGATCGACCAGGTAATACCATACTTAATAAAATTTCATTCGATTTTTTATAATTTTCAGCATAATGAATTGCATAATCAGCAGCAAAACCTTGATAAATGCCTCGACCAAAATATCCTTGATCAAGTATCGATATTTTATTGGCTACATTATCTAACATATGTGGTTCTAGAAAACCATTTTTAGCAATACCTTCTAAAGATTTAGATGATGAACCATGATAAACAAACAGTATTTGAGAATTTTCCCCTAAATAATCACGATAATTATTAAAGTTGTCAAATAATTTTTTATTTCGAATTATTCTCAGACCACAAAGACGAAATTGTGATGTACCCGAAAGACTATTAAAAAATTTACTTTCGACATCTCGCCACCAATATGAATCTTTAACTATATCGGAAATCGAAAAATCAATTTGAGGTTCGATTTTTTCGAGTAATTTTAATTTCATTGCATATCGTGAAGTATTATGAGGTGGAGAATACGCAAGCAGTGTTTGTTTGAGTTGGCACAATTGATTCGAATCACATTGATTCATAATATTTGATAATACAGGAAGGATATGACATGTTAAAAAATTTGATGATGCATTGAGTAACATATAACAAAGAATATTTAAATGAAACGGATCTTTTTTAAATTCAATCCACATAACAGCTACTACTTGATGACCAAATGATGATGAAAGAAGATAACGTGATAATGGGAAGGAATCTGGAACTATCGGAAAAAGTTCATGCATCTGTTCTACGATAAGATCTTTTTTCTGAACACGTATGTTCCATGATGGATCTGAACGATCTTCTGTTTTAAATTTATCATCAATTTCATCAAGTTTTTTAGCCAACTTTTCAAGTTCCTCCATAGCTTGCATGATAACAAATATGATTCTGACAACTTGTGAGTACTGCACTTAGATATAAAGGACACACACATAAAAAAGAAAAGAAAAAGAAATTTCTTCCTCCCATTCTTTCAACGAATGAAAGAGTAAAGACATAAATCTTGCCTCCAGTCATTTATAATACACTTCGCAGACGTACAACGAATTCTCAGCATAATATTCAACATTACTTTTGTTGATATGATACAATACTATATAGTTACTTGATGAATTTATTCTTTACAGATATAAATTTTAGATTGTATACGAATAGTGATTTTTTTTTATCAAACACGTATTAAATTAAATATTTATTTCAAAATTCGATATTCTTATTGTAATAATGAATGATGCGAAAGTTTTTTGCAAAATATCGCTTTATTTTTAATCGATCACAGTACAATGTGTTTTCAAAGAATAAATAATATTTGTTTAGAATTTTCGTTGAAAACGCTATCAAACTGTATATGCAAAAAATATATATAATGTCTTGCCTTAGAATAATGACCATATGTCCTTATATGACACTATAATGTAATCCATAATGATTGTGACAGAAGAAACCGATTCTAAAACAATACCATACTATTTTCTATCAGATTCGTAGATAATTAAACGATAAATATAATGAAAATATCAGTTACTTTTACTGCAGTCCTTTCTCACACCACATTGTAGTCTCATTTAAACACGTGTTCGTTACTCACAGGCAATAAATGATAAAAGAAAATTGTGAAAATGCAGTTCGAAGACGCTTTCAATATCGATTCGTAATAGGTATTTTTTTTATTTTTATAAAATGCACCGTAGTCGATGAAAAATGAAGTGAGATTTCTTTTTAAAACTTTCGTATTATTCGTTGAAGACTTTGTCTAATGACAAGTAAAGGTTGATCAAATATTGTAATCTCTTCTGAGATATCTAATGACGATTTTATTCTACACGTGGGTGACACTAACAAAAGAAAGTTCTATTCTTCTTATCAATGACATCACATTATATCTATATAAACAATATTTTCATCGTTATTTTATTTCATTTTGAAGATATAAAAAATATATTTCATTAGTAAAAAGAATTTCTAAAAACAAAATGTTTCGTTCAATGTTTCTTGGATTATTTATTATTTTATCACTAACGAAAGAAGTTTCCAGTATTATATGTCCTAGTGGAACTTTTACTAGTTATTATTGCTCTCGTAAGTACGATTTTATTTGAAAGTCGTAATACCATTTGTATTATTTTAGCCGGTCAATCATGTGGTTCATATTACGGAGATTGTCGTGGTTTACCAACTTATTTAATCTTCACTATTGTTTCACTCAGTCTGGTTTTATGTTCGATATGTATTCGATGCTGTGTCTATATAAATTCGAATAATTCAAAAACAACAACACAAAGAGTGCTAGTACCACAAGGTCCAGTTCATTCATTTCGAAATAATTTAGCTACACAACCACCAATTTCTGTTCCAGTACATAGTTTCAGAGAAGAAGCTCCTCCATCATATGGAGCAGTTGTAGCTGCAGGTGCACAACCAATAAAATATTAATTTTTTTATATAAACATTTTATTAATAAATCTATTGATTTGTAAAAACTTTTCTAAAAATTAAAAATTTAAAAGATATATATTTGATAATGATATTGTTGTTAAAATAAAAGTAAATATAAAATATTATTATCATTGTCTTTATAATAATTATTCAAATCAAATGACGATTATTTTTTTAGAGTTACATTAAAATATATATTTCGAATGTTTAAATTCATTCATAAAAGACAAAACTATTTTACATAAATATTTAAATAACAAATTCACTAAACTTTATCACATATTTCTTTTTTTTTCTCTTGATATAATTATTCTAATGATCAACTTTTATTTTTATAATTAATTTCAAGATTTTCTGTATCTGGTATTGGTCTTGGTAACCATGATTTTTGTTCATTAACAGCATGTTGAATAAATTCATGTCGTTCATTAACTAAATTATAACGTTTCATAAAATATGTTTCAAGCCATTCAATAGCAACTTGTGATGGAAATACTTCATTCATTGAATTAGTAAATGATATAAGAAATGCTTTTAATAAATTTATTACAGGTGTTAATTTTTCTAAACATTCTTCTCCACGTTTGATATGAATATATTTATATCGAACATGAAGATCAGTTACATATTTATTAACAAACGATTCAGCTTCTTGAACTTGTAACCATATACGTGGTAAAGATATCATAGCTTCATAAACACCAGCACCAGGAAATTTACATCTAAGAAATTTTTATTTAATTTCAACGATCAAATAATTTCAAATTAAAACTAACTTCGGTACTGGTTTTGTTGAATGATCTTGAACAGTTATATGAAGTGCGGATGAACATTCTAATTGTTTTTGTACATATTCATGTAATGAACTTGGAACAATATCAAGTTTAGGAAGACTACTAAATTGTTGTTGCCATGCAGCTATTGAATAAATCATTGATGGAATTGAATAAGGTAATAATTCACATAATGAAAGAAAATGATCATATCGTGACCATCCAGTTAAAATAACTCCATCGAAATTTTTCCATTTGGTTGGAATATATAATTGTAATTGTTTAATCCATGATAATTGATCTATAGAGCAAAAACTTTTTAATAAATTTATTATATTTTATTTTCTAACTTTCATGATAATGTTTAACATCACTTAAAGTTGCAATTTCATTTGTTGCACCTTTAAATGCAGTTGCACCCCATAAAGTCTGATATTGACCAAATAGATCTGCTTGTGAACCAATAACAAATCCTTCAACATGCATATCTTCTCTATAAGACCATAAAACCGGATTAATTAAATTTAATAAATTATATTTTTGTAACATTTGTATATTTAAATTTTGTAAAACATCATGCCAAACGAATAGAATTATATCAGGAGATTTTTTCTTAATATAATTAGCGATTATATTTAAATGATAAGCAAATAAATCATATTGATTTTGAATACCAGTTAAACGTTGAAATTCTTCACAAGCAGGATTTGTTAAAAAATAATAAACTTCATCATGACCAATATGAAAAAAACGTATATTTGGATGTAAATTTAAATATTGATCAATCATAGAAAAAAGGATTGTATAGGTTTTATTTATACATGGTGTTATAACTTGAGGATATTTCGGATTTTCACGTAAATCACTGAAATCTTTTAATTTTAATAAAAATTCTAAATGACCTAAAAAATCAGAAAAAAAAAATTTATTTTAATTAATTTTGAACGAAAGATTGATTCATTTGGTATTCTCTTTCTCGTAGAGAAGAGTCCAGTAAAAATAAATCGTTTGTTTGCTTGCTTGTGTCCACAGGGTCAAAAAAACATCGAAGACTATTTTTCCGGAAAAGGCATTTCTGGGGGTATTTCAATGCGGGGAGTTCGAATCTGATGTCATTTTTTTACACAAAGGACCAGTTTTTTTATAAGGATTGACCGAACGGTTATCAAGATCGTAGAATTCAAATCTAAACTCAGTTTTTGAAATTGTTTGAATAAATAGTTCACTGGGAGCGAAGACATATCATTGCTACGAGAAAGAGCTGAGCTAATCTCGAGACGTGCGTTACTTGTAGAATAAAATGATTTGAAAATGTACACACATGGCACACTCGATGGAATTTTTTAATAATTATTTTACAAATTTTATTATCAATTTCTTTTGGTGATTAACACATGGCGTATGTTTCTCCGATAATCTTGACGATAGTATTACAATAGTTAAATTATTATGGATTTCTATTTCGAAGGAGAATTCATAATTTTCGTACCAGTGCAGTAGACAAGTTTCGTATCTAGTTTCAACTGTGAACAAATTCTGCTAGAAATTGACACATAAAAGAACACTCAAAAAAGTTCACAAAGTTACAATGCGCTTAAAAGTCTTCGTTAGAATCAATATTAGATTCATCATATGAAGGGTGTTATGATCAATTTTTATTCACGCCCACACCCACACTTCTTATAGTTAAAATTTTAATATTTCAATCATATATATCTGTTGAAAATTTTTTTTGTCTAGAGTAAAAGTTTGTAAATAAATTGTCTTACCATAAGTTTGTAATAAAGGCATAACATCTAAATGATTTTCTTTTGCTAATTGATTAATTTTTTCAATATCATCTTTCGTATATGCTTGTTTATGTTTAATTGAACTAACAATTCCATCAAATGGAAACATATCTTCATATTCTATGCAAATACCTGTTGCACCCCATTTATGTAATAATGGAAATAATTTTTCAAAATATGATATTTTAGGTGAAGCACCTTTTAAATCAAAATGAACATATAATGATATTGAATGATTAACAATTTGAATTAAATTAGATGGTAAATTTGGCATATTTTTAATAAATTCAGAATTTTTATTTATTAAATTCTTTTGTGTAAATATATTCACTTTAGTATTTGTATCATAATTACTCATTGATATAGATCGTTGATGATTATTTTTAACAAAATATTTTGATAGAATAATTAGAATAAGAACAATTGTTAAAATAATAAGAATAGCTCGAAATCCACTAGCTCGACGAGATAAAAACATTAGGGAAAGCAACTTTAGATATATATGTTTATCTAAAAATAAGTAAAATTTATCATGTCAACCAATTGATGAACTCATTCTTTTTATACTATGACATGAATTGAATAAATTTATCTGAGCAAGTAAAAGTTAAATTATTCTTGTCAGTGAAATTAATCAAATGTCAGTCGAATAGAACCTTACATGTAATATAAAAACGACACATGTTATTATCAAACACATATCAGAATAAGAAAAAGGCACTAAAAACTCATCTGTATCGATCATTCTCTTTTTTTCCTTTCTCTTTTTTCACCTTTATTTCATTGATCGGTTCGATCGGTATACACTTGAGTGTTGTTCGTCGTCGAATTAATTCAAATTTGATGAATTTCTTTCTTTCTTGTTCTCTTTTCATCTGAACAGAATAAAAGAATAGTAAAAAACGACTATACTTAAGTAATGCTTCTATCTTTTAAAAAACATATTCATTACTAAAAAAACAATAAATATTTTTCTTTCCTATTCAAAAGTATACGTTTCATACATCATTTATCATGATGATGGAAGAACTAGAAATAAAGAAGACTATTTGTTGATTTGATTGCAATAGAATACGTATGAAACAAATTGATGACTACACAATCCATAGAAATATTTAACAAATCTATTTTTTTTTGATTGAAGACATATGTATGCTAGACTATATTAATTAGTCTAGTATACAAGTAAATGCTTGTCTCAATGTTCATGTATATTGTGACTGTTTTCTCATAAAAAAAACTGAAGTTTCTACGATATTTTTATTGTCAATCATGAAATTAAGAGTAATATCTTATTCTTTACCTTATCATATTGTGAAATCCAAGTTTTGTCAATTAAACATGAATTCGTTTTCTAGTCGAAGATACTGTAAAAATCAGTTGTGTCTATGACTATGATTATATATACAAATCCAGCGATTTTTATTATAGAATAAACGAAGAATATTATATTCAATCTACATTGTCTCCTATGCATTATTAACAAAATAGAGTATTGAATAATTAATTTAGTACTTTACGTAATTGTAATTCACACTCATATATATATATATAATCGAGTAATATACTGAACTTTTGTACTTTCCTTAATTCTATGTTGAAACGTTGTTATTTTTTTTTGCTGTTCTTCTATGTTTACATGTTTGTAACGACAACTACAGTAGAACGACGAGATACTATATGAAATTAGAACTGTATTAAATAAAAGAAAAATAAGGACGATAGAACAAAAAAAATTCTAATAAGTTATTCGTAGTGGTAAAAGTATTTAATTCATGGTAGTGTTTTCTATATAAATCAGTGTTCTTTATTTAAATGATTATTTCTTTTATCTATCGTATTTTTTTAAGAATAATGTTTTATAATTTATTCTCCATTATTCTTGGTTTATCCTCGGTATTATTAGTATTAGCAAATGAAGATACATCTAATACTTTAAATATTCTTATGCCTGATGCTGTTGCTAATCATGTATGTAATTATTAAATTTTGATCTACTTCATATAATATTCTATTATATAATTAGGTTGATGATTATGTATGTTCATCGTTTGAATTAGATACAAATAAACCAACATATATAAGTAAATATTTAATAATATGAAGAATAATTGTTTTAATTTAATTAAATTTAGCTGCATTTAATCCATCGGCTACATCGAAAGATGCTCATCATATGTTACTCTATGGATGTACAGAACCAGGTAGTCAAAAAAAGATTTGGTATAAATAAAAAAACTGACATAGTGTTCACATAGCAAAAATAAATCATAATATCTCTGTAATTAGGAATTGTGGTGAAATGGCTAATACTGAAACATCTTCTTCACAAAAATATGAAACAGGACCAATATGTGCTTCTGGTTCAACAATTATCTATGCTTGGGCAATGGATGCTAATAAAACTGAATTACCAAAAGGTTAAATGAAGACTAAAATACCTTTAAAAAAAATTAATACGTTTATTTATTATAGATGTTGCCTTTAAAATTGGTGCTTCAACACCAATTAAATATCTTGTATTACAAGTTCATTTTGCAAATATTGATAAATTCAAAGGTAAAAATATATTTCAATAAAAACTTATCTTTTAAAATAAAATCTATTAATTAAGCTGGTGAAACTGATCGTTCTGGTTTCGTTTTAACTACATCACCAACTCCGTAAGTAAACATATCGATAATAATATTTATGTAGTACTAATAGCTTATTGTATGATTTAGTTCGTCTAAACGTGCTGGTGTCTATTCGCTTTCAGCTGGCGGTTATATGCAAGCAAATTCTGAAGGTAATTATACACTGAAATATTATACTAATACTTATTTTTTAATCCTGTAGAATTATTTGAAGTTGCTTGTAAAATTCAACAAGATATTGTCATGCATCCATTTGCTTTTCGAGCTCATACACATAAATTAGGTAAATAATTTTTATTTGAAAAAAAAAATCAAATCGAAATTAAATTAAAGGTCTTGTCAATTCTGGTTATCGAGTACGTGGTACATATGATGATCAAGAATGGACAGAAATTGGTCGACGTTCACCTCAATTACCACAAATGTTCTCTTCAGTTAAAGATAATATAACAATTAAACAAGATGATTATGTTGCAGCTATTTGTACTATGTATAATACACGTTCACATGTTGTAAGAACTGGGTATGATATAATTTAAAATGTTAAATAAAATAAAAATATTTGTTTTTGTTATCTTTAGTCCAACTGGTAATGATGAAATGTGTAATTTTTATATGATGTATTGGGTTGATGGTGATCAATTATTAGATGATCAAGTTTGTATAAGTCCAGGACCACCAAACTATTATTTTCGACGTGATCGAGTATGTTTTCTTTTTTATACAATACTCAATTATTTAAATTTGTTTTAGGCTTTGAATGTTGATAAAATTCCAGGCAATGCATTTAGTATTCCACCACCACCAAATGGTCCAGCACCCGGTGAATCTTTACAAAATGGTACCCATCATATGATGATGATGCAACATCAAGAAAATCCACTTCCTAAACAATTTCATCTTCGATATAACAATGGAAATAATAACTAACATACATAATTTTTTAAACGACAAAGACAATAGTTATTTATCTGATCTAAGATTTTTTATTTAAACATAACAAAAGACTTTTCTTTCGAAATATTTTAATTTATTAATAAAAAAAATACAAAACAATTTTCTATTCACATGACTATTTGTAATTATCTTATTCATCATTATCATCTGGATCATCTTCAGCTACTTCATTTAAATTATTATAGTTTTTTTGCTGTTGATAATAAACATGTGATAAAATTCTTCCATCTACTGGATCATCTAGCCGAACTTTTCGAAGACAACGTCCAACAAATTGTGTAAATAAAACCTAAAAATACTTTCAATCCATTAAAAATTAATCAAGAAATAAAATTAAACCTTTGATTTCGGTGCGACTCTACGAACAATTGCACATACACTTATTTGTTTTCTATCATATCCTTCCAAAAGTTTACCACATACAACCAAAACACGAATTTGTGCTAGAAATAAATTTTCATAACATTTTCAAATAGAATTATATATATATTTATTTACCATTTTCAAATTTTTGAAGTATAGAATCTGGACTTTTTGTATCTCCTGTATATGATTCTGCAATATCTTGTTTAGCTGTCAATTTTAATTGTTTAGTAAATTGTTTAGCTTCCTCTTTATCTTTTGTTAATACCATTGCTTGATGTTTAACACTTGGATCTTGTCGATCATGTTCATCTAATATTTTAAGAATTTCTGCACTCAGTAACTAATAAAATAAAGAATTGCATAGAATAAACTCGAGAAATATATTTACAGTTCTTCGTTCAGGTCCAGAATCTTGATCATTTCCAATTTGTTGAAATATCGTTCGACGAATAATTCCATTATTCATGAGTTCATTAGGAGTTATTTGATAACAAATTTGTCCAGGAAGAATTGGTTCACCGTTTCTATATGGTGTAGCTGTAAGAAATATTGTTCTACAATTAAAATAGGACACAATTTTATCCCATGTTGGTGCTGGAAAATGATGAGCTTCATCAACAATTAATAAATTAAAACTTTTTGGATTCAATTTATCCCAATCAACTTTGGAATTTGTACCAAACTTTTGTGCATTTACAATAACTAAATTTTCTGCATGATCTTCAATTTCTTTTACTTGTTGAATTACTCGAAGTGGTTCAACAAATTTATTTGCTGCTTCTTCTGTAACAACTTTGCGTGTTACATAAAAACTTTCTTTCGGTCGCTTTCTGAAAAACAAAGTTTCATAGAAATGAAAAAAAACTTCTATTTTTTGAAAAGATTATTTCTACCCAAAAGCTTCTGCTAATTGATTTGTAATTTGTACTGAAGGTGTTATAACCAAAACACGAGTTGTATTCAGTATATAAGGAGCAAGTGCAGCAATACCAGATTTACCTCCACCAGTTGGAATTACGACTAAACCTATACGAGATTCTTGATTATTGTACCACGATTGTAACGCCTTTAAAGCATCGCGTTGGTGTGGATAAATTGAAAATTTATCTACGTTGTCTTTAACAAGAGATGAATAAGTGTTAAAACGAGATGTTTTTTCCTAGAATCAAAAAAAAATTAGTTATGAATGTATTTACATATAAATCTTATAATACCACATCATCGAGACCAAGAGCCATAGAGAATAAAAATATAATACTATAATTTATTGAAATGAAAATGTAACTTTATAAAGGTTAACGTTGCTCGAATGTCAGAATGGGACAAAAGGAAAAAAGGAAAAAAGGAAAGGAAAATATTTGTTCTTTGATTCATAAGTAATTGTTTGTATGAAAAAATAACTGAGGTTTGATTGTTATTCTTCCATCCAACAAAAAGTACTGTTTACCGTGTTTATATAAAAATCAAAAGATGTCGTAGATTTTTCAAGTTAAAAGTATCAAATATACTACTCAGAGACAGAAATTAATTATACATGTATGACGAAAAAGAAAAAAACTTTCAGATTCACAATCAAAATAGTTAAACTTTTTACCACAATTAAAATTTAAAAAAACGTAATCGGACAGAATGCTTAGAACTTTTTAACCGAAATAACTAGAGCCCTGTAACTTTCACTATTTGCGATAGTAGGTAGGAATAGTTGCATCAACAACTTTGTCTGATTTTTATCAATGTGGTTTTATTGAAGTAACTCGTGAAGATCTAGTAAGTCGATCAGGTGTTCCTTTCGAAATAAATTTTCATTTATTTATTTCTAAAAGAGTCATTTTGATACAATGAGTAAAATTAATTATTTTCCTAAAACCAATGTCAAGAAAACGATGATACCGAATCATATAATCAAACGACATGCTGGTTAGTATATAAGTTAAGATAATATTATGTAGATTTTGAGATATTCATCAATATTTTGAATACTCTAAAGAGCAGCAAAATAATTTAAATATCATTATAGGTGTTTTGGGACTTTGTGCTATTGTTCTTTCCAGTCCATATGATATTCCAATTTATATACCAGATGTATTGATGTCACTTTGTCAACACTCACATGATCCTGATTTAATACAAGTATGTTTAACTACTGATATGTTTTTGAGTAAAGAGATAGGAATATTTTTTGTTGTTGTTAGAAATCAATAAAACAATGTTTATCAGAGTTTCGTTGCACTCATCATGACTCATGACATGAACATAAAGAACAATTCACCGAAGATCAACTGATGATTTTAACCGATATGTTAATTTCGTACAATTATTATATTTAATAGTCTAAATTAAATATCGATTGTATTTGAAATAAATAATGAAATTGGACACTATTATAGAATGATGTGTTTTTTAGACATTCATCTATGCTAATTTTTTCCTTTTTTGTTATAGACCACATTCAATAAAAGCATTTTCACTTTCTAATTAATACTTCTAAATATAGTACATTTATAAATGACTTTTAAAATGAAAATGACACTTTTTATTGTTTTATTTCGAGTTGATGCTTAAGACATTAATGAGAACATTTTTCTACCTTAAATAAAAATTGATTAAGTATAGTTCTATACTTAACATTAAATGTCAATTGCACATACATATATACCTTAAAGGTCAATTTCTCAAACAAATAAAAAATAGATTAAATATCTATCTCTTTCATTCATTTGCTTTATCATGTCTAATCTCGTAGCATTAGTTTTTCTTATTTCAATTTCATTGACAATAAGTTGGCCAATAAAAAAACCAAAATTAACTTTAAATTCAAATGATACATGTTGTATATTAGCTAAATTAAATATAAATGCAACACGAGCAAATCATGGACGAAAATTTTTTTCAAATATTATATTAAATAATGATTCTTATAAAGATATTAATGAAGATAATGTTTGTTCATTGATGCATTTTTTTATGCAAGAAGCTGTACTTAATGGACGACCAATTAAATTTTCTAAAGGTTACGAAATATATTCTACTTTTTTTTAATTTAAAAAAATTCTTTTTTTAGGAATGTTTGTTCTATATGATTCAACAAATGAATTTTTCACACGTTTTATGGTAGCAAAAGATAATCAAAAACATGGTAGTGAAGAACATCGATCAGGAATATTTAAACGTTTAAAATCATTTGCAACGAATTCACTTAAATCATTATTTAAATTACAAAAACTTAATCAAACTATTTCCGATACATTTATTTATGTTCGTGGTGATGAATCATCACATTTTCGTGAACGTGCTCTATCAAAATTACAACGAAAAAAAGATTATCCAGCTTAGTATGTTTTGAAAAAAAGAAATGAATTAATTGATTGATAGAAATATTTTCTTCTAGTGGAATGGATGTTAAACATGGTTGTATGCCAAATGGTTTTGGTCATATTTTATTTGGAAAATTAAAAGGTTTATATAATAATGAATCTGATCCATATTATGGTGATAGAATTTATATTAAACCAGAAGAATTTGGTCTTCAAAAATTTAAACATTATATTGGACGTATGTTTAAATGATTCTTTCTCATAAAAATATAGAAAGTATAAGATTTCTTAAATGACTGAAATAGATATGAGCATAAATATTTTATTATCTCGCGATTTGAGATATAATACTTATTAACCTTTAAAAATTCAGCTTTGTTTTTTTTTTGATAAAGAAATAAGAGGAATAGTCATCGATACATAAACGACGCGTTTTTGATTACGATGTTTGTAAAATAGACAGAGAAAAATGGCAAACAGTTCAAAAGAGCGAAAGAACATTTATTGATGATCTTTCACTAGTAGTTGACCTTTATAGTCATTACTTAGTTAAAGTACCTTTTTTTCGAACAATTATTGAATATCCTAGGAGTACAATTATCCAATAATTACACTCGGCCTATATATATATACGTCATAAGTACTCCGAGGGTTAACAAATATTTATTTTTTTTGCAAGATACTACTCACCGTTGATATATACATGACATTGCTTTTACGATAAATCTTTTAAAGCTTTTACTTGATAACCTTAAAGACTCAGCTTTGTAAACATCATATATATATATTTTTCATTCTGTGTGTGTGTGTTACTTAATGCTAAAAATACATTAGATCTCTTATACTTAGGATTATTTTAAAATCTGATTTAGATTCGGGTAAATATATTCAAAGTGTATCACGTCGTGTATTATGTAAAATTTCGAAATTTCAAAAATCTCCAATATGTACAAAAGATGAAGCATTTCGTGAAAATATCGATATGAAATTAACAAAAAAATGGAATCAAATTCTATCAACAATTCCAATATTAACTGAAGATGAAAGAACTTCTATGCGTACGAAAGCATCAAATCATGGTATATATGGAATATATCAACAAACATCAAGATTTTATAATGATTATATCCAAGTCCGTGATTTTCAAAAAGAATTAGAAAATAAATATGGTCGTGATATACGATCACGGAAAGGTAATGAAATTATTTTTACAACGGAACAATTATTAGAAAGTAGAATATCCTGTGAAGCAACAATGTTGACAAGCAATTTAACTAATCATTTACAATGTCCAGCACCACATAAAAACATGGCGGCTAATTTGAAATGAAACATTAGATATAGAAAAATGATCTATTGAGATATAAAAATGTACTTTTTACTTACAAATGAATTTGAAGAATTTGATTGAAATTAGAAATTTCTTTTTTTTTCAGTATACTTGAAATTTTTCTTTAAAATATATTATTTCTTCTAGTAGTTAAATTAAATAAATGTACTTTGTTCTTTTTTTTTCTACAAGTGAAAAGATTTGCTCTTTTTTTGATTATATTTACTAAAGCACGTCTTTTCATTCATTTTAAATAGACATTCTCTCTCTCTTCTTTCTAACAAAGAAATGCTTTCTAAAAGATGTTTGATGATTAGTTTCTTCCGGCAAAATCTTTTCCTATTTCAAAATTGACATCATTCAAAATTTTGTTTGTATCATAAAACGTATTGTTTTCTATCCTTATCTAATCAATAAGCAGTCAATCATTTATTTCAATAAAATGTCACGTTCAATGGATGATTATTAAATCTTTTAAAGATTGTCGTTCATCATTCTATTGAACCCAAAAAAAAAAAAAAAAAACAAAATACATTGCACTATAACATGTTCGATAATGATCATCATTTAAATGTCCGGAATAGAATATATAGATAAAAGTCAAGATAAATCTATTTTTCACTATTTTATCTTTCATGGTTATAAGTGCGAAAAATCTTTCATTTCCTTTTTTTCTTCTCTACTTGTTCTCGCTTTGTCGTTAGTATTTCTCTCTATATTTTCTTTTTTTCAAGACAGGAATGAGAGAATCACACTGCTTGAAAGAGATAAAGTGTCTTGTATGATTGCATGCATTTAAGAGAACGTTCGATGTTAGAAGAAAAGGAAAGAACAATACCAAACAAGTAAAAAAAAATATATTCAAATTCTTGCAATGAATATATCACAATAAATTAAATTCATATTTATATTAGCATGGCTAGAATTAATATGAAAGGTCGACGATGGTCCGATGCTGTACTTTGCAAGTAAGTTTTGATTAGTATCTTAATAACGAACAATATATTTACGCGTACTATACGTGTTTCTTTTGATGTAAACTATATTATGTAATATTTATTGTTAGCCCGCTGAAAGGGACTATTGTAATTAAGTGAGTTAGTTTGTATTGTGTTTATTGAAACAGTTCATACTCAAGAGTACTTCGAGATAAATAGAAGAAGTCAACTGATAGATTTCGATTAATAATGGTAAAGATTAATGGATATAATGTTCATAAAGGTTTACTTTCCGGACGTTTACTCGACTGACTAGTTGAATAGATATTAAACTTTTAGAATATAAGAAATTCGAAAAAAATTTCTATTGTATTATTTACATCGAACATACCAATTAAAAATGTATTCATTTAAATATATATTTGTTATTATGACCGGTTATTTTATTTTTATTATAAGTAAATAAAAAGAAAATAGCATAAATCAGTATTTGTCGTTTTTTAAATCAGAACATAAACTGATTTCAATAATCCGATTATATTTCCTTACTAATCTTGATTATTAATAAAAAAAGTAGTTCATTTTGCCCTGAAGATATTTCGTTTCAATGGTATTAAATATATAAAATACTTCTATAATTAATGTTTATAGTTTATATCTTCTAGAGCTTAGTTTTTTTTCTCTAATGAAGAATTTATTTAATTTCTTAGTTTATTATTTATTTAGACCTTGAAAATATTTTTCTCGGATACAACTTCATTTTCATAATAGCTTTTACGTGTGGAAAGTAGGCTGTATGTTTCTATAAAAAAACATATGATCTTATAAGTGGTTAAAGTTTAGAAAAACGTAATTGCAGTTGACAATATGAAATGTATTTATGTGATTTATTTGCACTAATAACTTTCAATGATTCATGCTATACTAACAGAAAAAAGTAAAGAATTACTTTAGAAAAAATATATTGATTCACGGCTAAAAATAAATGTAACTAACAGATTCATAGAATTATTGATCATAAAGATCAAATTATTATTTTGTCATGTATTAAAACAAAATAAAAGTTAGTTGCATTAATTAAGAATAAATCATATTTAGATATGTATTTCTTTTTTTCTATAGAAAATATTTATGTATTATAGTAACATTTGATATTTTGACAAGAAGTTTTCTTTCTTTTTTGGCTTGTTACTATGTGAGAAAAGAGCCTTCTGTCATTGTTTTTTTTCCTTGACTAAATCCTTTCAGTAGACTGCGCAATTTGATCTGCCTCCCATCAAATAATTTTCATTATTTAGATGAGGAGAAAAAAACGGGAACGGGTGCTTGACGGTTAAGGATAAGGAAAAAAAAGAAATATTTTTTGTTTTCATCAATTATTACAATAAGAAATAAAAAAAGGAAAAATAGTACTGATGAAAATTAACTTCATCATTATTCTTTTTCTCTCGTTCCTTTTTATATATAATAGAAGGATTTATCAAGAATAATATTCATTTTGAAGTGATAGATATAGTCAGTGTTAGCTGAAGAATACGAAATGAGCAGTAATAGTCAAAATAGAAATGCACGCACAATGCCAACATCAACTTTTGAATTTTCCAAACAAAAACAACACGTTGAGTATCATTCATCAATGATGCCTAGTTATTCAAACAGGTTTGATTAAGTTTTTTCTTTTATTTTGTTTTTTTCTATAGTTCTTTAATAATCACTAGACTCGAAACTAAAGATTATATTGTGTTCATTATTTTTAATATAAAAGTATCTAAAGAAAACCATTTTAATCTTACCGTAATACTATTTTTACGGAAAAGGACACATCATTCATTTCCTTTCAACGGAAAAGATAGACATTTTCTCTCAGATTAAAAAGCTAAAAAATAATAGAGTATTGAGAGAAAAAAAATTTACTTGTAATATAATGCATAACTTCTATATTCGGATAATTTTTCAACTGTTGAGATAATAGCAATATGCTATCCTAACTGAGAGGCACTTGAAAGCTTTATTATGTATGTGCAATGAAGCGATTTATCGAGTGAAAACAAATAATTGACGAAGTTTTATGTTTATTGCCATTGTATTGATTACAATAAATGTATATTTCATCTTATTTTTTTTTATGATTAAATTTCATGAAGAACTATTAATTCCCAAAGGTTTATTCTCAATTGACAAAAAACCTCTAGTCCTAAAATATTCATCTTCTTCTTCTTTTGCTATTCATAGAATCAAAAAAGAAGCTTTTGCTCTCATGCATTCTATGTCGATTCCTTCTTTTTTTTTGTGTGTTATCGTAACATGCAATAACATCACATTGGAAAATGAAAAAGGAATGATGAAAAATGAGAGAAAACGAGAGAAAGAAGAAGAAAAAAGGAAACTATTTCTTCTTTTTATATCCTTCTTTGACGTGTCATACGAGCAACTAATCAGAAAAGAATTTTTTAGTTCATATATGAACAATGAATCCATCATCATCTCAACAGGAATCGAAATTTTCTGCTATATTGTCCAAACGGTATATAGACAATGAAAATATTTTGAATTAAATATACTGTTTTGATTTTATTTATCTATCATATTTAATTAGTATTATTATTTATTTTCTCTTGATTAGGTTTGAAAATGATCATGTTAATGTATTTTTGGAAAATTTTGAACATGCTACACAAAAACATGAACAACGTCGACAAAAAATTAAAAAAGATGTATTAAAAATAAAATGCTCGTAATTTTGAATTCGTTTTTTTTTGATTTTAAAGGAAGAACTTGAAAATGAAAAATCTGTACCTGAATATCGAATAACATTTGGTGAAAAACCTGAAGGTATAACATCGAAAGAATATGAATTACTTTATATTGAAACATTATATACAATTAAACATAAAATTGGTACAACAACATCAAAATATATTGAAGGTGAAAATGACCTATATGCATATGCACAAGAAGCATTTGGATTGTCACCGGAAAATCATTTACGTTTATTAACTAAAGCAAGTGAAGAAAAGGTTTGTCTATAGGTTAGATTCATTCTTTAAAAACGATAAAATACTTTAAGGCACCAATTTTAATTCTAAACATTGAAATTGTTGAAGCAAAAGATTTAGAAGCAAAAGATGCAAACGGTAAGATAAATTATTTATCAAAAAAAAACTTCACAAAATAAATTATGTATTTAGGATTTTCGGATCCGTATTGTATGTTGGGTATTGTACCTGAAATGCATAAATCTGTTCTTTCTCATCAATCAAGTGGTGCAGGTGGTGCATCATCGGATGAAGAAGTTGCAACTGATAGTAAACTTGGTTTTATGAAACGTTTAAAAAGTTTTCGGAAATCAACAATACGTCGATCACAAGGACGAGAAAAAAATGCAGCAGTAACTAGTCAAAATTCTCAAACTAATTGTAGTTTAAGAGATAAACTTCCAGCAAAATATATTCAAACAACAGATGTTAAAAAAGCAACATTAAATCCAATTTGGATGGAAAAATTTCGTTTGTAAGTTTTAGATTTTGAAATTATAATTTTCAAAATAAAGTTTATTGTTTTTGTTTTCAAGTAATATTGAAGGCAGTAAAACTGAAACATTTCATTTGGATATATGGGATCATGATGATGAATTTTCTGTATTTGAGGCTGCAAGAAAACTTAATCAAGTTCAAGGATTTAAAGGACTTAATAGATATTTTAAACAAATAGCTCAATCAGCAAGAACAAATTCAGATGAAAGTTCACATGTTGATGATTTTTTAGGTTCTGTTAATTTAAAAATTAGTGTAAGTGTTGACAAATAAGTATCTCTTTGTAATTATTTAATATTATTTTTTATTCAAAATAGGAAATTCCATCAACAGGTATAGATAAATGGTTTTCACTTGAAGGTCGTAGTGAAAATTCGAAAGTTCATGGTCAAATACATATTCGTGCTAATTTAGCTACACGTGAAGATCGTGGAATATCCGAAGAAGATAATTGGACTGATATTAAACAACATGTAGAATTATTACAAATATTTATTGATCATGAATTAAATACATTTAAGGTTCGATATTGCTCTCTTTTTTTTATTAATTAATCATTTATAGTTCGATAAAATATGTCAGTAATTAAGCTAAATTTGACATATGCTTATTATACAAATTTGATTAACATCCGTTCCTTATTATACATTATCATTTTTTCGTTAAGGGGCGTCATCGGAGAATGAGGAAAGAATTTATATATATATATATACTAGAGAATTTTGTTATAGATAAAATAAAGGAAAAAGAACAGCTTGCATTGATGATTAAATCTTATATAGATTCAATTATATGCCTTATAAAAGATGTGATCAACGACATATTTTAATCTCTCTTGAGAATATTGTCTATTATCTCAAAAAATTTGTTTTCGAAAATAGAATTTTATTCGAAATAAGAGATCAAAATCTATATATTAAAAACCAATAGTTAATGAAATTTCCTATTCATTAATAATTTTATTGATTATATAGATTAATTTCATATTCATTATTATTTATAATATTCTATAAATAAAATTAATCATAGGGTAGAAAATATACTTAAATAAATTTCTTCTACCAAATCTATTGTCTTGAAAATAGTTAATTATTAATAAAAGATACGATGTTGAATGTCTTAGTAATGCAATTCCGTCAGACAAAGAGGAAAAACACATCCTGAGAATCACTGGGGTATACTTTCTACATTAATTAAAAGTTGATGTAAAGCTTACTAATTTTAGATATATTATAATATACTTGCACGATTTTATTATTTCACATTAGGATCTAAATTATCTTTTCTCATATTAAAAACCAGCATGCTCTAATACATTAAAGTATATATGAACTTGCTCGAGGTTCCAATATTTTATTCCTTGTTCTATTTATATCAAAATCGATGGAACTTTAGAATAATAGATTTTCTATATAAAAAAAAAAGTCATCTAAACTTATACTACATATGCCGTTTTTAAGTGCATGAAAAGCTTAAAAAGTATATTGGTATACTTATTTGAAATCATTCTAGAAGAAATAATTATTTTTCACATGATAAGATTCACTTAAACCGATAAAGTTCTCTTATAAAGAATAGTTGTGCTCGAAGGCAAATTTTGAAAACAGGAAGCTTGTACTTACAACTTGTTCGTTAATTTCAGGGTAAAACAACAGAATGGACTGGAGAATTATCACGCGATGCAGAAACAATTTTACATCAACATGCAATTCAAGGTGATATAACTGATATTCAACGAAAAATGTGTCGTTGGATAGCATATTCAAAAAAACATTTAGAACGTACATTAACACATAAATTATTATTATCAATAACAGAACAATTAGAACAAACATGGCAACCAACATCATTAAGTCGAGATGAGAGTGATATGTTACGAGAAGGTTTTACATTATTTATTAATCATTGTTTTAAACAAATAGCAAAAATTCGAGAACTTTTTCCGGCTGCTAATAAAATAGCAATGGAACGACTTGAACAACTTCTAACGTAAAACTACATTTTTTATTTTTTTTTCTATTGAATTTTTTTTTGTATTATAGAATTGTTGCAAAATTACATAGTATGGAAGTATTTCATTATTGTTGTCCATTTCAAAATAGTCTTCAACATGAATTATCATTAATTATTAAAGCTGGAACAATTGAATGGTTTGATCGTATGGTTTTAGAAACAACCAAACCAAGATTAACAGTATAGAAATTTATTAAGAATTATTTACAAAATAAAAATCTTTCGATTTTTAGTCTGATGAAGAAATATTACGTAATATGAGTGAATTAATTTATATTCTTATTGCAGATGGTAAGAAAAATATCCTATAAGAAAAAAAAACTTTTCTCTAATAATAAAAGAAAATTTAAATTATTTTTAGCTCATTCAGCTGTTAAATATTACAATCCAATATTTGAATCGTAAGTTAATTAATTTATTTAAATGATTTATAATTTCATATAAATTTCAGTACTGTTAAATTGGCGTTTTATCATATATCTTTCAAGAAAATCGATGGCAAAGTATGTATTAGTTTTATTCCCGATAGAATTTATCCATTAAGAGAAGAAAAACTCATGAGTTAAAAATCAAGATATATGTCCTTTAGTTTATTACAAACACTATTGACTATTTAAGTATCTAAAATTACTCAACTGGAGAAATTTTTACTATTAATTTCAAGACATTCCTCGCTATTCAATCAATTGACTTTGCTATTTAAAATTTCTCTATATAATTATAGATATTGAATAAGTAGCTAGACAGTAATTGAATCGAATTTATAAAACAACATGTCAGATAGGCAAATTATAAATTGTTGACATTTACTCACAAGGGAGAATGTGAAACTTTTTCTTTTATTAATCTCATAGGAACTGAATTTTACTTTTGATTTCAGCTTATGGATATGATTACAAAGGCATTGGAAGAAGAAGTAAATAATATTTTAATTATTTAATCAAATTTTAATTACATTTTTCTAAATTAGCTTGGTCAACAAATTTATCTATCACCTACAAAATTATTAGAAAATAATGAACCTGATTCTGCTGATATTGCTGCATTTGCATCGGCAGCTGAACAAACAAGTTTATCATTATTTGAATTATATTTAACACTTAATGAACTTTCGAAATATAAAATCTATGTTAATGAAAGGTATGTAACAAAAAAAGAAACAATTAAATAAAACTTATCTTCTTTCTTCCGTTTGAAGTCATCGATCTAATTTAAAAATCAATCAATATTATGTATATTTTGGTGTTGCTCTTAAAAAATGGTTAGCCGTTGCTCGAAATAAACTTCTTCATCGTATTGAATATTCACTTGATAAAGATAAAATTGATACAACATTAAATAATAAATTTACATCCTCATCATTAGATATATCCAATTGTTTCATACAAATAACACAATTCTGGAGACGATTAGGTTGAATTAAACTAAAATAAATCTCATTTAAAAATAATAATATTTATTTATTTGTTTTTTTAGCTTGGCCAGATATTCTTAGTTCAATAACATTTTTAATTAAGATCACTGAAGATATAGCAAATGCAACACGTCTTTATGCAACATTAATTGAAGAAAAATTAAATGCAAAAAAATTTTATGAAACAAATGATTTAACTTTTTATACACAAGAAGTAATATAAGATAACAACTTAAATATTGATTCTAGCAAACACGATCTAAAAACGAGTATTGAAATTTGTGCCCCCGAGACGTGACTATTGAACTCATACTGTCTAAGATAGATATATTAGTTATAATTAGATCGTGTTTCACATTTTAACCTCGCACAGGGATTATTCTCTTTCTCGTAGAGAAGAGGTCAGTAGACATAAATTGTTTGCTTGTATGTCCGCAGGGTCAAAAAGATATTTCGATGGGGGGACTTCGAATCTGAAGTCTATTGGGTGACCATGATGAGCGGGAGGGGGACAGAGGTCAAAAAACATCGAAAACCGTTTTTTCCAGAAAATGTGAAGAAGGTGCGTTTCTACGAGAAAGAGCTAAGCGAGTCCTCGGACGAGCGTTACTTGTATACTAATAGTTTTTCTTTTAAATTTTATTTAGCTTTCATTAACTGTAAATAATATTGAACGTATACGAGAATCATTTAAACAATTACCTATTGAATTATCATATGATAAATTATTAGTAGCAGCAGAAAAATTTCAAACAATTGCTGTTGTTGATGATTATAGAAAAAGAATTGAAATTATAGTTGCTGGTTGTAGTCAAGATATAACAGATAGAATTTATCAAATATTAAGTAAAGTTATTACAAATATGGAAATGGAATTAAAACAATATTTATTTCATATTGTCGAAGCTCCTGAAGCAAGTGATGTGCAAGATACAATTCAACCATTATTAACTTTTTTAAATAATCAATTATTGCCTTATAGAGATCTTTTAATTAGACAAAATTTAACAAGGTAATTTATATTATGAAAATTAATTATAATTAAATCAGTGTGTTCTGTAATGAACTTATGTGAGTAACAGATATAGGAAAATTCCTTGATACTTTATTACAATCGTTTATATTATTAAATAATCTCAGTAGTAATCAATATAGAAATGTTTGAACTAATTATAGTATTAAGAAGTCTTTATGGAATTGAGTAGTTGAACTTATAATTATTTTGTTTTTCTTCAAAATAACTAGTTTAATAATAATACCTAGTATTCCAGGGAGTTCTGTATTCATCGAAATTGATATTAATTTAAAGCATTGAAGCAAATAATTGTATTAAATAACATATTTGTTCAATTCTGAATCTTAGATAATTTTTTGATTAAATCTCATTGATATCACAACAAATAATTTAGAGTAGTATTCATAAACTTGATCAATATGGATAAATCTTCCTATTTTCTTCTACAAAATAATAAATAAATTTCTTAAGTGATCATGACTTTTGAAACACTCAGCAGTATTAAATAATTTTATTATGTAAATAAAGCAAGTCTTACAAAGATACTCATGTATATGTCATGTCTACTTATTTTTAATGAAACATGACAGTGTTTAAAAATAAAATCTTATAGATAAAACCTATTGTTAAATGAGAATTACTATAATTAGAAATTGGAATCTTTTATATTTAAATTACTATAAGAAACCACATATAATGATGTGTGTATGAAAAAATAATTAATAATAACTTGAAGAACTTCGCATGTAAATATATTCTCTAGTACGTTAGCACTCTATAACATACAGAGTGACATAAGATGCTCTGGAGTTTATATTTAAGTCAATGAGTACGCTTTTGATAGATATAGAAAAAAGAAAAACGAATAATAATTAAAAACGAAACTAAAACAGTAATAGTCAAAACTCACTTATTTTATATAATAGCAGCGAGTCCACTAATCAACTTACACATTGTTCTGAAACAATCTTTTCCTAGTCTTTGAAAAATACGTTTATAATCTAGATGAAAGAATCAATTTGTATCTTTAATAAATATTTCTTAACTTAGATTATTGGAACTTATTTGGGCTGTATTAATTGATCAAATTTTATCTGAAGTTGAACATGGAACATCACCAGTTAATACATTTTCTATTTATATATATAAACATATTTAATGATTAAAATTGTTTTAGAGAACAATATCATCTTATGCACGTTTATTAAAAGCTGTTGAACTTCTTGTTGAATATTTTAATAATGATGAACAATGTTTACCAAAAGAAATTCTTAAAACTGATAAATATAGAGTAAATTATCGATAAATATCAATTAAAATTGCCATTAATAACTTTTTTTTATTTTAGTTGGTTAAAAAGTTATTAAAATATCAATCTACTGACACGCAATTGTTAATCAAAATGTATTATCAGGTAAATCAGAGATATATATATAATTGAATAAAATAATAAATTTATTTATCTAAAAAGGAAAAACTTCAAGAACAAGAACGTGCTAATAATTCAAGTCAAGCAGATTTAGGTAAACTTTATTGTCGAGCTTATTATCATTCAAAAGAAGGAACATTATATATTGAAAGTAAATATTTATTTCTTAATTGAAATCTTTCTTTATAATTGTTTTTCAGTTGTTTCATGTAAAAGTCTCAAACCATGCGATTCAAATGGTCTAAGGTAAACTAAAAAGAAACAAAACACATAGTCTTGAGGATGTCCCTTGTTGATCTAAAGAGAACACCTACACCCTCAACGATATAGAAATCACTTTGGACGTTTTCGAAAATTATAAATAAAATTCTTTATTTCAGCGATCCATATGTTGAAATGCAATTATGTCCAACATTTTTCTATCCTCATATTGAAAAACAACAAACATCAATTATAAAAAAAACTCTTAATCCACAATTTAATGAAAAATTTGAATTGTAAGTTTTAATAGCCAATATCATTATGTTAATTTTTCTTTGTTTCTATAGTCGATTAACAGAAAAAGAATGTATTATATCAGGTGGAATCGTACATTTTACTGTCATGGATCATGATTTAATGTGGTCAAATGATTTTGAAGGTGAAGCTTTTCTTGAAATATCAAAAATAACTGGTATAAATCATGATAATCGACCTACAGATGAATTAAAACAAATTGAATTAGCATTAACACATCCGAAAGGTTTGAAAAAATGGAAAAAAAACAATGAGTATTTCGTTTGTTTTTTGTTTTAGCTCTACGAAGTCGTATTATAGAAATATTGGAACAAAGAGTAGCAGATAAATTAGCAACGGAATTTGTTAAAAAACGACGTGAAATAGAAAATCAATAAAAGAAAACAATTATTTTTCTTCACGGATTATTTATTTATTTCATCGTGTATAAACTTTTATTTTATTTGTACACGTCAATGAAAAAAAAAACTGAAAAATATTATTTATATATTTAATCTTAAATTAACAAACACAATTATTGTTTTTGTTTAGAATACTGAAGAAATACTTTTTTTTCCTCTATTGATAGAATGAATAATTTCAAAAGTCTATCATAGAACAAGGTTATCTTATTGATTTTTATAAACGAATCGATAATTATAACAAAATTCAATGTGTAATAAGAAATAATTACTTATGCTCTCACAAGATCAGTAATAAATAGAAAATTGCAAGGTTCTGTTTAACATAGAATTGACTTGAGATTCAAATAATAATGATTATGTTGATGTTTTATGTAATCATGTATGCAAAATGTTTCAATTATTAGTGTAAAAAACTGCGTCATGGAATTCACATGAGTTGAAAAACTTAGCGTCTTTTGCTTCTAAAATTCGGGTCCAAGAAAAGAGAGGCTATCGGAACTTCACCAACTGTTACAAAACATTGTATAGATGTAAATTTAATTCACAACTTAGGTAGAGAAATTCTAGAAGAAGTGTTGACGGAAGTACAGTGAACTTTCGCCAATTGACAAAATACCAGGAGGTCTATTGGCGAAGATCCGGAATGTCAAATATGACTATTCGAAATCAAGATGAACATCAATATTATATGTAAAGGTCTAAGTGCAAACATAATTATCTTAGACAGTGAGCTTGAATAGTTACAAGTCATTTATCTAATTATGCAGAAAAAAGTTATTTTTCTTAAGTTCAGGTCATAATAACATTTCATCTATTTTGAAAAACACTAATTTAACTGTGATTTCGGATCTTCCCCAAGAAGATTTTCGTCAATATACCACCCGGAATTTTCCCATCTGACGGAAGTTCACTGCACTTCCGTCAATATCTCTCTGAGAATTTTTGATAACCCGTAGTTATATATAGGAAAAACTGTCATGATATCTTGTAATAGCAGTTTACTATTCATAGTTCTTGAATAGAAATGTCTGAAAGAACATTTTGATTTCATCATTGTATAAGAAGTAAATTTAACAGTTTCTTAGCAAAATCTTCAACATATTTTTATTAATTGTTTTTGAAGATAACAACAAACAAAACAATGCGAAACATCAAACAGATGCTGATGTTCCTTTAATAGTCAAAATAGTAGCTGATGATTTTCCTTTTTTCTTCTTTTTAGTTTCATTTGATGTTAATTTCTGTGTTGCATCAGCAAATAGAACAACATCATTTTGTTCTTCAATTTGACGTCGAATTAATTTTAAACCAGCTAAATTAAATCCAACATTATTCTTAACGAAGAAAAGAAAAGTTTATTATTTTTGAAATTCTTCGAAAAACAAAAACTTTACTCGTAATTTTTCTACTGTATCCATACAACGTGTTCGTAATTGTTCAACAATATTTAAATATTGATGTGATGATGTTAATACACCATGATGAATCCTAATGAATAGATTAAGTTAATTATATAAAAAAAAGAAAGTTTTTTTGTTTACTTGATTAAGAATACAGCACATTTAATACATAATTCTGGTGACTGAAATCGATCAAGATAATAGATAAGAAGTGATAATAACTTTTGAACATAATCAAATGGAAGAAGTAAAAGAGCTGCTTCCAAATCACTTTATAACAACGAAAATGACAAAATATTCAATTGAAAAAAGAAAATAATTAATTACCTTGCTGGAACTTTTCGTAATGTTTCAAGTACTAAACGTTCAGCTGTATAACCTTTACCTAATGCTTGTAACATAATATGAGGTGGTGGTAAAGGAACCTAAAGAAAATATGATTTTCATCTTATAAATAGAAGAAATTCAAAAATATACATCTTTTCCTAATGCTTTTTGTGTTGCTTCATGTTCGGCAAGTTTTAATTTTTCTTCTCGCCAAATATCAAGTGCTTCTATAACACTTTCAGCCTATGCAAAAATAAGATGAAATAAAAAAGAACAGATAATCATTGAAATAAACGTACTCCTTTAAGACTTTCAATTGTTTTTAATGTAGCTAAACCAATTTCTTTATTAGTTTCACCAGGTAATATAAATTCTTCATTTTCCATTTCATTTTCAAACTGAGCTTCACGTTCCTAAAAGAAAATATAAAATTAAATATTAGCAAAAAAGATAATAATCTTGATTTTAGATCAATTATTCTTAAAAGAGAGATAAGGGTGGGTGTACGTCTCACTTCATCGTTATATTCTCACTCTCATTCATTGCACCTACTCCACAGTAAACATCGTAGCTCTCCATCTTATTCCTATCGAACTAGTCAAACTTGAATCAATAATATTCTTTTGTAAAATTCAATAGAATGAACGATTATCTTACTTGTTCTTTTTCTTCATCAAGTATCAAAGGTTCTTCTGTTCGTTCCCATAAACGAATAGATCGATCATGTGAAGCCGTTACAATATGCATTCCATTATTTGTCATTGACATACAACGAATTTCACCACAATGACCCTACATATAAGAAAAACAAATTGTTTTAGAAAGAAAACTTTTATTTTATTTGTTTTATAGAAACGAACATCTAATGTTTGAATATGAAGAAATTTATCAGCATCCCAATATTTTAATTTATTATCTTTGCTAGTTGAAAAAAATAAATGTGTTTTTGGTACAAATTGTACGGCTGTTATTGTATCATCATGTGCAAATAATGATCGATGACAATCACCAAAATCTAAACCCCAAATTTTAATATTACGATCACTTGAACCAGTAATTACAAGACGACTATCAGATGATATATCAAGACAAAGTACAGGTTGAGAATGTCCATATAATGATAGAAACATCTAAATAAGTAAATTTTATCAAATGAAAAATAAATAAAAATGATATTCTTATACTTGACATGAATCCATAAAGAATACTTTAACAGTTGTATCCATCAATGCTGCAACAAAATATCGATTATTCGGTCTAAAGAAATATTCGTTTTCTATTGATTATTAATAGCAATAAATTATTATTATTATTTACGATATTTTTAATGCAAGAATATCTTCACCAACATCAAGTGAACGTTTATGTTCGAATGATAAACGTTTTCTTACCTAAATTAAAGAAGACTTATATGTTAAAGGATAGGAATATTAAGAATTTTATTATTCTTTTTCTAGAAATAACGAACTGTCGAGTATGAATTCCATAATATGACGAATAAAAGCTTTCCGATTTTTCTGTCTCGAAATATATGATCAAAAATAAAACTATCTAGTATATAGGTTCTTCATCATTATGATATCATCTCATGTAAAAAAGTACATAAATATTTTACTTTTTTTGAATTCATTTCTTTTTCATCTTTTAATTCAAAAGTCCAAAATTGAATCTTTTTATCACTTCCACCAGATAAAAATGATTGCTAAAATATAATAAAATATGCATTCAATAATAAATCTTTAATAAATAAATTTACTCGATCTGGTGTCATACACATTGTCCAAACTGATTGGTTTTCATCATGTCCTTGCACTGTTTCAACAATAGTTGCTGAATCAAGTGAAGCAATTTGAAGTGAACCATTCTTAAATTAAGAAGTTTTTTTTTAAAAACATCTAGTATTTAGGATAATCCAAAAGTAGCAGCACAGATTAAATGATTGCGGGTGTGACGATGGATGTTCTCTTTAGATCAACAAGGGACATCCACATCCATACACATTTCCGCTACTACTTTTAGATAATCTTAAGTAAATTTTCTTACTTTACAACCAATTAAAACAGAATGATCACCAGGTAAAAACATACAACAAAGTGCGTAATCACAAGGAATTGTTCGTATAGATTCACAACTATGTCTAAAATAGATTTCATATTTATTTAATAATAATAATAATAAATATGAGTTTAAAATTAGACCTATTCCAAATTTTAAGTGATTCTCCACTTCCTGAAGCAATAAGCATATCATCAGAACTAAATGCTAAACATCGAACTTCAGTTCTATGAGCAGATTTTTCAATTGATGGTAATTGTTCATGAGTTTTATTTTGAATATTTAATGAATGTATATCAAGTTTATTATTTAATGTTAATGCAATAATCTAAATAAAAGAAAACTTTTTCTTTCTTTTTTGAAACTCTTTCTTCTATTTTACTTTGCATGTTAAATTCGTATCAAGATACATATCCATAGCTCGAATTTTTCCATCGAATTTTATTTCACATAATGTTGTAAATATTAATGATATATCCCAATCAATTTTAATATTTTCTTCACTAAGAAAAACAGAAGAAAAGATTATTTTATTCGTTACGTACTGATTAGAAAATTAAGTCATATACTTTATTTCATCACCATTTTCTTTACGTTTTCGTGCTTTTGATAAACGTTTTCGGAGACGTGCACGAACTTCTTCAATAGTTGATATACGAAAAAATTCACTGAAAGATTCAACACCCTAAATAATAATTTTTAAAAAAAAATCATATTATTCTATCGTAACTTACATGACAAGCAAGTACACGACTATCATTATCAACATTTAAATTTGATACTCTTTGTTTACTTTTACGAACAATTGAACCAAGTGATTGAACATGAATAGGTATCTTAAAATATAAAAGCAATATATAGATAAAATGTTTGCGAAGTTCATATTAAAAAAGTTCTCTCAAGTAATTATTCTATTATAAAAAAAATTTTAATTCACCTGATCTTCACTTGTTATTTCATCAGTTAATGGAGGAAACATTAAAGCATCATCGTCATCCTAAATAGATATTATTAAAAATTCGATAATCTACATTAAGAAAAATGCTTTACTATTATTGTAGGTCGTAAAGCAAAAAAGCGTAATTCATTATCTGAACAACCAGTAATTAAATATCGATCATGTGCTAATGCAATACTCCAAACCTATATTTATTAAATATATAGACATAATAAAAATATATTAAGACTTCAACCTCTGTCCGATGTGTAACAATTGTATGAAAACAATGTTGAATACTCATATCCCATAATTTAATTGTCATATCTTTTGAACTAGAAAAAACAATAGTTTTAAATTTAAATATAATTATTTAATAAATTACCTTGAAATAAGTACTGATTGTGTAGACATAATGATAACTTTTGTTACAGGTGCTTTATGACCACGAAGACGATAAAGACCAGCTTCAGTAATGAGATCCCAAGCAATAATATCTGTATCCTAAGAAAAAAAATTAAAATTTCGTTTTTTTTGCTTAATAAGATTTTTATTTTGATAATACTTTTGATCCTGAGATAAGTGTTGCTGAATCTTGTGTAAATGTTAATGTAGTTATACTTGATTTATGTCCATGAAAATTCACAGCTGTTTCATTTTGTGTAGTAGAAAATATTTTAATCATTCCATTTTGATATCCAACAGCTAAATGTTTTCCATTTGGACTTGCAGCAACAACAATTGCTTCTTCACGAATTTTTTTTTTCAATATTGATGATGTTGTTGTTTCATCAACAAATGAATTTATCTAAAAGGAAAATTTATGTCAAAAGGAAAATTAATTTAAAGAAAAATCGAAATTTACTTGTAAATGTGTTTTAAGATCCCATAAAAGAACATTTTCACATGCTGGTACAAATACACGACGTGAAGTAGATTTCGATGTTGAAGGTAATAAAGCTATATTCGTTGCATTACCACTACCAATTATACCAAAGACTTTTTCCGGAGCATGACGATCATATTGTTTTGTAAGAACCATCTATAATAAGATGAAAATATTAGTTTACAAATTATTCTAAACTAAGTTTATAGGAAAAAAAAGATCGATCTCTAAATCTATTCTCAAAATCTCGATTGCTGGTTGATTCAATTCCAATAGATAATCTTTCATAAACCTCCACAATGAAAATTTCAATAGAGTAGATGTCAGTAGTTAAAAAATAACAAAAATATCTAACTTAAATATTGTACCTTCTCGAAGTCACTCGATCATAAGCATCCAAGATGGTGACGTAGCACATACAGCAGCTGATGTTTCATTCGATAGTCTATCATGAATCATCAAAAATGTATATAGATTATTTATTTCTTTTAGATCCTTTCTTTTCTTTGCAACATATTACAATTATAAAGTTTTATTCCAAATAATGGCTTACGCATATCTTTTTAAATATATTATTATTGGCGATACTGGTTTGTTTTAGGTCTTCTTTTTCTTTTTAATTTTATTAATTTTTATTATTTTAAGGTGTTGGTAAATCTTGTTTATTGCTCCAGTTTACTGATAAACGATTTCAACCTGTACATGATTTGACCATTGGTAAGATGAAAAGAAATATAAATGAAATAATATTTTTTTTTAAATTTAGGTGTGGAATTTGGTGCGAGAATGATAACAATTGATGGAAAACAAATAAAATTACAAATTTGGGATACAGTTTGTTTCATATCTATAAAAAAATAAGAATGGTTTTTTTCACTTAAACTCAAATTTATTAGGCTGGTCAAGAAAGTTTTCGTTCAATTACACGTTCGTATTATCGTGGTGCAGCTGGAGCTCTACTTGTTTATGATATAACACAGTAAATTCAAAAATCAATAAATCAAATCAAAAAAACTATTTTCTTATTTTAATTAGACGACATACATTTAATCATCTAACGAGTTGGCTTGAAGATGCACGACAACATTCAAATTCTAATATGGTTATTATGCTCATAGGAAATAAATGGTAAGGTTAATATGAATTATATATGTATATATTTCGAAGAATAAATTATTGATTTAGTGATCTTTTTGCTCGACGTGAAGTACAAAAAGAAGAAGGTGAAGCATTTGCTCGTGAACATGGATTAATATTTATGGAAACATCAGCTAAAACAGCAGCAAATGTTGAAGAAGTAAAAGATTTTAATAAATAAAATAATATTTAAAAATTCATTGTTTGTTTTGTAATATTCTAGGCGTTTATTAATACAGCTCGAGAAATTTATACAAAAATTCAAGAAGGTGTGTTTGATCCAACTAATGAAGTAAATATTTTAGTAATATTTAATTCAATGAAATTTTCTCTGTTTTTTTACTAGGTTAATGGTATTAAAATTGGTCCTCAAAATAGCAATTCAGGAACTCCAACTAATCGCCCTAATGCCAATGCAAATGACAAAGCAGGTTGCTGTTAAAACATTTTTATATGACAATACATCAACTGCATTAGTATCGATTTTCGTGCGCATCTGTGTATTTATGCATTGATGTTGTATTTTTTTCTTTCGTTTTTCCGTTGTTGTTCGTCTCTCTTTTTATGAAAAAAAAAACTCATACTTATACATTTTTTTCTTCTTTTACTTAGATGGATAAACTAAATGTTTCTTTTTCTTTTGTGTAGTGCATTGTTGAGCAGAACTATAAACATTAAAAAACAGATTTTCTTTTCTGATTTTATTGTATATAATTTTCTCAAATACACAGGACAGGTTATTATTTATTCATATATACATATATATACATATACATATTTATCCGCTATATAAACATACAGTGAACGCTTCTTTTTCTTTTGTTGTTGTTTACTTTTAAGATACACACATATATATATATATAAATGATACTCTATTTCTTCTGTTTTTTTTCTCTGTCTGTTGTCTGAACCTTTGTATGGGTGTGTATGTGTGTTTTAAACAAAAGGAAGAACGAGATAAATAAAAATATAAGTCATTGTAGCAAAAGTGTTTTTCTTTCAGAGTGTTGTTTCTCTCTCTCTCACTCTCTTTTTTTTATCAATGATCATGTTGCTGATGACTACTTAAGAATGGTAAGATTTTAATTCGAACAAGAAAAATATTTTTATATGTATTTAGATGGAAGAGAAATCATCAATGTAAGGTAAGAATGTAAGATATAATAACACTAAATTATTAATCATTATTTATGATTGAATATTGATTTGTTTTAGACTGAATAACAGTCAACAAACTGATCAACGAGTCATACTAGATATAAATAAAAAAAATTGACGTTGTGGAACATAAAATTATCAATAGTAATAAGAGATTCGAATACAAAAAGACTTATTAGACTTTTATATCATGGAAAATAATATCTACTATAATATTTATAGTAGTATTAGAAAAAAATAGATCATTTTTCTCAGGAGTTTTATTTATCTCTTGTATATGACTTATGATTAAAATTAACAATCTATGTATGAAACTTGAAATAAAATATGTGATCAACAAATTATTATTACAATTGACTTAATTCTTCAAGTTTTAATGTATATATTAATAAATGATTCAGTATAACAATATTTATAATAAATTCATTAATAATTTTAATCATTGAATGATAATATATTAATAATCAAATCAAGTTAATTTATAATTAATTTTATATAAAAGTATATTTGAATTCAATAAAAATAAAATATTCGTTATTTGGAATACTATATTCGAGTGTTTTTCTTTAATAGAAAACTATTTGACAATATACAAAAAATAGACTATGTCAAATGACCTTGTGAATCCGAAAAACAAAATGACTAACCTAGTTAGATGATTTTGTTTTCCTCTACATTTATTAGTAGAAATATGAATGATAAATATAAGAAAAAAAACAACGTATTTTATTTGAATTGTAGATATTTAAAAAATGTCGCATATTGAAGAAGAATTTGAGAAAATTGAACGTGATCAAGGTTGGAATACATTATTTCGTGTTAGTTTTTATTTCTTCTTTTTATATTAATCAATAAATTATTTTTATTTTTAAAGAAACTTGCAAATGATCATGGTGTACGAACATTAGAGAAGAAAAATGATATTGCACTTTTAAGTATGAATCGAGGATTAAATCGATTTCGTGATGTTTTACCTTGTAAGAAAAATCTATTTTTTCATCTTCTTCGTTAATCTTGAATTTATTTAAAAATAATTTTAGATGATGACACTCGTGTTCGTTTACAAGGAGGTTCAAATGATTATATCAATGCAAATTTTGTTCAAGTACCTTGGGCAAAACGAAACTATATTCTTACACAAGTAAATAGATTTTTTTCTATTTTATTTAATAATATTTATTTCCGATAAATAAAGGGTCCACTTCCGACTACATCCGAACATTTCTGGCAAATGATTTGGGAACAAAATACTCGTGTTATTGTTATGTTAACTCGTTTAATTGAAAAAGGATGTGTAAGTATTTTATTTTTATTTTTTTAAAAGAAGTCAAATATATTCTTCACATAAAAAAACTATTGAAATTAATTAGAATTGCTTCCTCGATTATAATACTTCAAAAGAAAAAAAAGGATAATTACGTTTCATAATAACTACACATATATCCGAAGTATTTAAAATATAATAGAAAAAGTTGATTATATCTTTCTTTTCAAAAATAGAATAGGACATTAGAAACACTTTTTCCATAAGGCGAAACTTCCGATTTTTTCTTAGAGTAATCTATACTGAAAAGTTTTTTTCTAACTATTATTCACAATATAGAAAATTAAATTCAAGCTTAATTACGTATATTTTTATATAAAAGTTACCGTGCTTCAAAACAAACCGTAATAAGAACAAGTCGTATAATTTTATTACCCGACTTCAACGACACAAGGTAAAAAACAAAATCTTTGTACACGGCAAATGTCAGGGCGACTAATTCAAATGAAAAAAATAACAACAAGAAAATTACGTTTTATTTTTAATTAGTAATGCGATTTGTCCAAATGTAACGCTATCATGTTTTTGACACATTCATTCTCGATTATCACGAAAAGTTTAATAGCTAGAAAATTCGTTCAAACGCCATTCAGCGCAGCTTACCCAATTCTATTTATTCTATAAAAAGGAGATATTTTTTAATTGAAGTCTCGAATATCTAAAAAGGTTTTTATCATCGCGTAACGCAGCTACACAGTTTTTGTCAGCCATTTTCGAGGTAGTTAACATCGTCACGATGATTTCATTTTGTCTTTACTATGTAAATAAGCGTTCTACACAAGAATCCGATTGGTTCAAAAAATGTCAGATTCGTAATCCGTATTAAAAAATGCGTCTAGTAACTCGAAAAAACCGAATATAATGCGAAACCTTGAATGCCTTATTCAAAATATATCTGTACCGAATAATTTATAAAAAGAGAAAAGATGTGAAATGAATTATTTATTATTTAAAAATATATATATATATTTATTTAGAATAAATGTTGGCTTTATTATCCAGATTATGAAAATGATAGTGAATTATCATTTGAAGAAGTTGATTTAAAAGTTACATTTGTATCTGAAAGACAAGACGAACATTATACACAACGAAAATTTGAATTAACAAATCTCTTAGTAAATAGTTTCATTTTGTTTTCTCTTTTAAATTTATATTCTATTTTTCATTTTATAGACAGGAGAAACTCGTCCAATAATTCATTGGTCAGATTTTGACTGGCCTGATCATGGTGCTCCAAGTAGTCCTGAACCATTTTTACAATTATTATATGATGTTCGTCAATGTGGTGCTTTTGATTCTCGTTTCGGTGCTCCAGTTCTTCATTGTAGTGCTGGTAAAATTGATTTTGTTTTATATTCTTTCAAATAATTTTATCTCTATATGCATATCAGGAATTGGACGATCTGGAACATTTGTTCTTGTAGACTCAATTTTAAAAATGGTAAAATAAATATAAATCATTTTTATTTTGAAATATTTTTGTTTTTCCCTTTCAGCTTGCTCATACAGATAATCCGAATGATATATCATTGATTGAAGTTCTTGCTCATATTCGAACACAACGTCATGGACTTATTCAAACAGCTGAACAATTAAGGTAGTTTAAACTATATAAAAAAAAATAAAGAAATTTGGAAAAAATATGAAATTTAGATTTTCTTATATGGCAATTATTGCTGGATTAAAAGAACTTGATGAACTTGAAGAAAGTGAAGGCTTATTTAATGAAAGTGATTTTGATGAATTAAGTGAAAGTGACAATGAAGAGAATGTCAAATTAACTAAAAGTCTTGAAGATATTAATACAGAATTACAAAAACGTGCTGATAATTATCAAGCACCAACAACGTATGAAAAAAACATTTTTTTTTATTCTTTAATCAATAGGAAAATATTCTTTTTTTGTGAATTAGGAATGATACTGAAACTTCACTTCGTCTTCGTCTAGAACGTTTAAAACGTAATGAAGCTATTGAAAAAAAAGTGAATGAAATGAAGGCTAAATTACATGAACAAACTCAGCCTTCATCATTACATCATAATAAGAATACATCGATTTTAACACTTTTGTTAACAAAATATCGTCGTCCATTTTTTATTGGTTTATTTACATTATTAACTGGATCAATTTGTTTATATAAATTTAGCATGAATAGTGATCGAACTCATTGAATCTCTTTTTTCTTTTGTTAAAAATTTTTTTTTCTTTTGTATTTCTTCATATTAGAAACAAAAAGAACGAATTAAATCAAAACTCATGATAATTATACATATATACATGCAGATATCTTTTTATTACATAATAAAATCGAATATAAAAAGATTTCGATATTTTTATTTACAAAAACAAAAATAAATAAAAAAAGCTTACGACACTCGGTATTCCCAGGCGGTCACCCATCCAAGTACTAACCGAGCCCGACGTTGCTTAACTTCAGTGATCGGACGAGAACTGGTGTATTCAACGTGGTATGGCCGTAGGCGATATTTTTTTATATTTCGAATTGTTCCATCAATTTCGAATTAGTTATTATTAATTTGTTCTTTTTGTTTATATTTTCATAACATAGAAAAATAAAAAATATTTCATAGATGTTTTTTTCCAGGTAGTCTAGGAAGAAAAGGTGCACATTTATTACTAATCATCTATTATTTTTATTCAAATGACAGTTATCATAAAACTAATATTTCATCATATTAATTAATTTTTTTTCACATACAGAACTAGATAAAAAATATCTAATGATAAAAACGTATTTTGGTATTGTAATAGCTTGTGCTGTTTAAACGCACCTATGGCTGTCGAGTACAATACTATATATGATTTTTTCCTAAGAACTTTTTTGTTTTGAAATTCATATTCGTAACTATTACGCATGAATAATAGTAAGTACAAACAACAAGTTTGCAAATAACCTTGATGAAAAAGTGCATTGATATAGATATAGATTTACGTTTCGTCGCTAATGTATGTAAAAGTTTATATGTTGTCATTGATGATGCAGTTTCTGACGTAATTCACATGAGTAATTATATTTTTATAAAGAAAAATATACGACGCAATAGTTAGAATATTAGCCTGCGATTTGTATAATATTACGATTGTTTTATTCATCTATTCTCATTGTCAGATTTATCTTTGTCTTAAATCATCATAGTATTGTACAAATACGCTTTTATGATTATAACACGTCATAATTTATTGTATACTTACTGTACTATACTGTCTCTTCCTTTCTTTAATATATTCGTAATGCGCAATTTTTATTTTATACTTACGCACCTCTATAAAAATAAATCTATATTAAGAAAACTTTCTTCTATAATCAATAGATAAACAAACATTTTACTTGTTTTCTCCAATATTTTTGATCTGAAAATAAATCAATGAAGACATACGATATCATATTAGCGAGTGCAAAATCCAAAGAAAATACGTATATTGATAATTAGTTTCATTTTTTATCTCAAATTTAATCAAAAAAAACGTTTTTTTTCTATGCATGAACGTACAATCAAATATTCTTTCTTTACTGTCTTATTTATTACCTTTGACGTTAATAACTTCTTTTTCTAATATACCTTTCAATGCAATATTATAGATATACACTATACCCTTGATTTGATCAAGGTGTGTTATATTATATGAATGGATTGTTTGATCGTATGACTACTTTTCTAATATGATGTGCATAGATAGTTATGATAACGATATGCAAAAGTTTATTGTATAAAACTGTATAAAATAAAAATTATCACGAGATAAGTGATATTGATATTTAACAATATAATAGAATCATTTAAATTCTTCACTTTATTATACAGAAGAAAAAAACAAGAGAAGATATGAAAAAGTATTTCTATACATTACACATGTTTAGTACATAGAAATATGAGCGGTATATGTTAAAATTTTTTCAAAGAAGAAATAAGTTTCAATATCTTCTTTATTTTGATTGACGAGTCCAATTGAATGTATAAACATGTTAATAGATCACTAACATCCAGCTAAATAACAAAATATATTTACATACAATAAAATCCACAAGATGTAGATCGTTAACGAAAGAAAATTTGTTTTGATTGTAATAGTGGTGGTGGTGGTAAGCCGTCAATAAATGCGTAATTAACTAAAATCTTATTTACACATAAAAGAATAACAAAAAATAAGTTTTAAATTAATGCTTGTCATAGAGCTTGTCCAAGTCCAGTTAAACAATATACATTAGCAGTATGATCGTCATCTTTGTCCGTATCATGAGAAAGACCATGGTCTGAATCAAAAACGTTTTCCAGAAACACACCCAATGATGTAAGTAACAAAGCCACTTTCATAACAACTGGAACCAAAACCAACATTATTTGCAGTTTATTAAACACGAAGCAATTGATAACAAAAGAAATATATGAAATTCTGGTATGAAACAAGTTACCTTTATAGCTGAATAAAACTTATTCATCCATGACGAAAACATGACTAAAAGCATGCACATATATTTTTATACCTTTTTTTCTCTTACTGGATGACTCAATATAGACATCGATAAAAAACAATCTAGCAGGTAATTTCTTGTTTTACTCATGTATCATTGACAATTGATGACGACTATACATAAAGTTATATGGATAAAAAAAAGAATGAAATCAATATTGCGAAATATTATCGCTTCATTATATAACAGCAAGGACAACAAAAAAAAACTTATTTTAATAATTTATTTAAACTTAAAATGAAATATAAAAAATTTGAATCGAACAAAATAAAAAAATATATTTTTCCGAGTGCTAATTAGTCAACCATAACAAACATTATTGACCGATTTTTGTCATTACCTTTTAATTCATTGTATTTACCGATTTCTAACAGCGCAATATAGTGTCTTAAAACAAAATAGCTGTCATAAATATTGAAAAATATTTACTACAAAATAATAGGAAATATATGCTTGTGCATGTTTTCGATATCTTATCCTTCAAGGTCGAGTATTATTATTCCTAATGCATTCTTATCCTTCAATACACATGCTCTATAATAAATGTAAAGAAAAAATTTAATATTTATTTTATGCTGTATTAATCAAGAGTAATTCAGAAACTTAATAATCGAATAAGAAATTCCAATAATTGACTAACTTCTCAATGTGTACTATTACTTACAAGATGATGATTTTCTTCTCTTATTCTATCGACAACAATTGACAAGAATCTAACAAGAAATATTAATACGATATAGAATAGGTAACTATTATAAAGATTATTAAATTGTTAACATTAGTTCTTTGTTTTATACACAAATTCTATGAATTATATTATTATTATCTGTTATAAAACAATGATCTCTATTAAATTTCATATTATTAATATTTTTGCAGACATAATACGCAGAATTAAATGATTTACGTTGTAATAACGAATAAAGATTATCATTATTTTTCGTGCTAACTCATATTGTCAGTTTTAATATTTATTCGTAATACGACAATTACGTCAAAGATGATTCTATTTTTATAGTAGATCAATCAATAATATTCAAAAAGTTCGTTATAAGTATATACTTGTTACGGATGTATTTAGTCTTAAAGAAAGATTTTACAACTACAATACAAATTATTAACACGTTCATCTATCGTCTATATTATTTTTATCTAAGCGAAGAAAATTATTTCGATCTACTGAACCAAACAATATAAAAATTTTTGCATCATTGACTATGAATTAAACAGTTCATTGAATCAATCTTTATTTGATTATTAAATGCATGTCATACTCTATTATAATAGTATATCGATATAATTTCTTAATAAAGAGATAAATTTCATCCATACAAATTCTATTATTAAATTTACATATATTTCTATAAGTGTTGAAATATATATATGTCATATATATAAATTACTGTCTATTTCAAAATAAAGAAGACGGGTAAGAAGTTTTTTTTCAGTAGGAACAAGATAGAAAGCTTCGATTTTCGCTGTGCGAAAGAAACGCTGAAGATGCATTGAAACTATCTTTTTAACGTATGGGAAAATGTCTGACTGCAACTGTTAGAGAAATATTTCGACGGGTTTTCATCGCCTTTTTCAGAAATGAAAACCACAGGTCGTTATGTTGTTTCTATATAAGAATAAATCTTCATATAATCAATTGATTAAGATATTCACAATAAAATTGTAGAATTATCCTGGAATATAATCATTTTATTATAATTGAAAGTTTTTTTTTTGCGAAATATAGATATAATTTGTTCATACTGTTCATTGTTAATCGTATACACTTATTGACAAAATGTCAAATTTGGAAAAGAATATTGACATGTACATATACATAAATATTGAAGAGAACAAAATAAAAGAAAAATTTTGTACCACAGCAATTGATACGACAACAAAACCATAGAGAAGAAGAAGAACAGAAAAAAAGTATTGTGTTTTAATGACATAAATACACGCTCAACGACAATGATACTACCACAGGTACATTATTTAGCACCATATATTCTATTGGATTAAGGAAAAATAAAGAACTGCAATACTAAGATAAATAAAAACATAGAATTTTGCATCAAATTAACACCGGAATATTATTAATCAACAAGATAAATCACCGTTTAGATCCATAAGATATTTCTAAAAAAAGAATTTTTCCAATTGAATTATTTTGATATCAATAATAAATCAAAAACATACTATTATTTTCAGATACATTCATCGATAATTCAGATGTAGATGAACTAAGATAAGCATCATTTGACTAAAAATAAATAAATAAATATATAAAAGATTTTTATGTCAATAAATTTTTTCTTTCGACATACAACAATAAATGTTGCTTTTGATTGTGTAACTACTTTTAATATTCCACATTCATCAAATTTAATATCTTCATCATTTTCTGATATCATTTCAAATATATCATTTGTTGTTCGACATTTTTGTCTACTAGATATATCTAGAAGGTACAACAAGAAATCATTCATACATTCAAAAATAAAATTATCTTACTCACCTACACCTGATGCTGTTCGTAATAAAGAAAATATTCTTTGATTATCATAATGACCAACTAAATCATTTAAATTCAATGGTATTAAAGAATCATTCTAAATTCAAATAAATAGAAAATAACAACAACAAAAAAAACTTCTTTCTAAACATACAACATAAAAAATAAATTGTCCAAGTGTATATTTAAATTTATCAAATATTGGTTGTAAGATTTGTAATAATGTTCGTTTTGGATCACAACGTACACATAAAATTTTCGTTGGAAGATCAATACGAACTAATATACGAGTTTCAACATATATATCTTTTCCACATAAACTTGATAATGGTTCTTGAAGATCAATAGATTGCTAAAAAATTAATATATACACAAATTATCATATTGATAAAATACACATATATTAACCCTATGCCTCCCGGCGATTCTTATAAAAATTCGAAAGACGCGCCATCTTATAGAGCTCGATGAAATCTATCTGTCATACTAGTCCGTAAGTCTAATTTTTTATAAGAAATGCTTGGACACATGTATGCGTCGCCGGAAGTCAAAGGGCTGGATAAAATATTTACCTGATCAGCTAGATATAATTCAGTTCGATACCATGTTATTCCACGTTTTGCAAATAAACGATTAATAGCATGTTGTATAGTATTTGTTTCAATACATGCTAAGAAAATTGTTGATGTTGAATCAGGAAAAATAAAACGACAAAAACGAGATGAATCTATTGATGTTGCTAATGGATGTTCCTGTAAAAAATAAAATAAAATTATTTATTATTATTTATATAAAATAAGAAAAATAAAAATGAACTGACAATAATTGTTTTTTTTTCACTTTGATCTTGATTTATATCTGAACGTGAAATCAAATTACACAATGATAAATCTTGTTGATTAATATTTGATGAATATTTATTTATTATTTTATTTGAATTTCCTATTGTTATTAATGGAGATTTTGTTGGACTTTGAAGTGAAAATGATGATAGGGATGATGATGTTATTGGAATTTTAATTATATTTGATATTGATGTTAATTCTACTGATGCTGATTTATTTGTTATTGATTGATTAGAATTTTCATAGAAGAATGTATTTGTACTAGCATTTGCAGTTTGATGAATATTGGACGATGATGAGGGTGTATCACGTTTAACTAAATTTAATTTATTAGTTTTTGTTTTTAAAAAATTAATTATCAAATTAAAAAAAAAAGATCTAATTTTTTTTAGAAAATATGTACTTATCTACCTGATGAAAGTAAAAAAGACACTGAAATACACTAATCATCAATGGAATCTTCGTTGAGCGCATTACTCGCCGAGGTTGACACTGCAAGGAAGAGATTAATCGATATCGAGAGAACTGTATAATTAACTAGATGGTGAAGAAAATAAATATAGGAGGGTAGGTATATATGGTGAATGGGAGGGAACTAAAAGAAGAACAAGCGTTTTACTATGTGCAAGCATATCAATAAAAATAATTTTCATTGTTGTGGTTTTGTCTTATTTTGTAATATATAATACAACAACAACAATGAAAATTAATACTGATAAAAAGAAGAATATATAATGTGCAATAAAAAATATATATTTATGGTGCGTTAATAATACTATCAACCAGTGACATGCTCTTTCGTTCTCTATATGATAGAAGTGTTATGTATAATAGGGGTGTATATTATATATTTTAACAGCATATTAGGTTAAATCGATCAATCATTGATCTCAGTTCTACGCCTCATTCACATGCAGAACATCAGCAATTAACATAAAGCTATCAACACACATGAAATTTCTACTAGCAATAGCAATAGCAATAGTACAAGTTGATGATGATAATAATTATTACTACTAAGATTTTCTCTATTTATTCATGTTTCGAATTATCATGAATAAATGAAGAAAATATTTAAAAAAAAATAAGCACAAAGTTTTTATTTTAGAAGGGTTACTAAAAGGGCAGACAAGCTCTAGTTTATCTATACAGATAGATGCAAAGGAAACATCATAAAAGAAGAAAAAAAACTTGCTTGTCTCTGGCGCAGCTAAATAAATCGAAATAATGTATACAACAATTAGATACATAAGCAAAGAAAACATAAACTAACCTGACAAACGTTTCCATTTGATAAATGCTAGACAAAACACAAAAACAAATGTCAAAGAAATAATTGATCTATAAACTTCTTGTTACCTTTTGTCCAAGGAATAAGAGGACTTCGTTTTTTATCTTTTTTCTCTTCTTCTTTGATTTTAGTCTAAAGAATAAAATTTTCTCGAAATATTAATTTGATTTTTTTTTTTCGTTTTTTTCATACAAGACATTCATTTGGTTTTGAACGATCTTCATTCGTTGCTGGTGGTGGAGGTGATAGTTGAATAATTGGTTTTGAATATGGTAGAGATTTTCCTTCCATTTCACTCATAATACATTCTTTATACATATTTGATTTTAAAAATCTTGTATATGAATCAAGTTTCATTAATTGAAATATCTGAGATTGAGCCTTTTCAAATATATGAGCATTAGGTTTATTTAATAATGATTGTTGACATTCTTGTCTTGAACGACTATCAATATTGATTCGACATGAACCATCATCAGTATCATGTAAATATGTTGTCCAAATTGAATTAGCTTTAATACGAATCTAAGAACAAAAACAAAAGATTTTTAATTATTTGAAATAAAAGCAAAAAGAAATCAAACTTCTTCAGGATCAGTTATTTTTTTTAATTTTTCGCATTCCGTCCAAAATTGAATATTTTCTTGGCTAAATTCTTTTTTTAAAAATTCTGTAAATATATGTAAACCCATTTCATCATTGAGCAATTTTTCAAAACCAACAGCCCATGAAGCAACACGACCAATATCTAATAATTTATTTGTCGCTTCATTATCTTCATCTTCACATGCTTTATGAACACTTGTTAAAGAATTTGATATAGATAAACGTGTCACTGATAAATCTCCTGCTTCTTCATCGGTAACAGCAAGTGACTAAATTAGAAAAATAAACATAATTTATCATATCTGTTACAATTGTTTTGTATACCTTAGTCTTAATAAGTTTTTGTGTTATACGACGTCCTATTCTTTCTGACGGCTTCATGACTTATTATTATCGGATGGAGGACATTATTTATGAGGGAAGATCAATAGAAAAATTGAACACGACAAGAGAACGAAGAAACATATGTAGTTTCCCTTTTGTTTTTAACTATGCGTGTTATACAGGTCTCTCTCTCTCTTTGTTTCTTTCTCTCTCCCTCCCTCCCTCCCTCCCTCTCTATTTCTTGGTTTTCTCTACTCGATGGCTTCTCTATGAAAAATGTTGCTAGAGGCAGTGATAAATATTATTCTTGTTAGGCACTAGTTGATGTGTTTTTCCTGTCATAGAAGTGCATACAGCGCATCAATGTAGAAAAGATGCGCGAGGACAACGTCTGTCTCTGTATGTCATACTTCGTTTTTTTTCTTTTTTGACACGCACAGATATCGAAACAAATAAAGATAGTTGTCTAGATTTCACCTCTTTTTCTTATTTGACATGTTCTAAAACCGGAAAAAAAACGCACTAAATAAGAATAAGATAGAAGCGAAAATAAAATAAGTGCCATTATTTATTTCCTTTTCTTTTTGATGATAATAAAGAGAGATGTGACTTGTTCTTATATCCGAAATTTTATACTTGTCTGGTTAACAAATATAATCAATATCAAGTGTTTCGGATTTATTCTATCATCTTGATTGCTCTTCGAAAAAAAACTCTTATCTTTTCTCTCCTACTACCTTCATATAATAACCTCGAGCTTTTAACAATAAAACATACTGTTTCACATCAATCTAATAGCATTGCATTGACACAAGGGCCATTTTAAGAAAAAAAAATTGTTATCAAGTGTCATCTAACTGAAGATAGTATACACTTTTTAATAATTAACAATTTTTCAGGTTTCACAAGTGATACAAATAGATGTCTTAGAGGTCTTCATATAAGATTTTATTGCAAATATTCTATATGCTTCGATCTAATCGTAGATCTTAATATAGTTATTGAGGTTTATTATGATTTATTTTTTTGGAAAATAAAAAGCGGAAAAAAAACAGAGAATATTGAACGACAGACATTTTCTAATTTCAATATAAGATTATTTAATAAATCATTTCGGAAATTATTTATTATGTGTTTTGTCAGATAATTTTAGAAAAGACGAAAAAATAACACAAGAACATTCTTAAATGAGTTTTCTTATAACATACCAATATATTTGGAAGTTTATAATCATTAACACTCGACTGCCGACGAAAACCACTAGCAAAATTTCGTATTAATGAACGATGATTTGTATTCATATTACTGTTACGCATGCTATCCTTGTCGGAATATGAAATATTTACGTGTAGGAAAAAAAGAAAAAACGTATTTTTTTGCGACTATCGTTCTTGTGTTTTTGTTTTTCTAGTAGTAGTAGTAATAGTGATTGATTGTTGTCTCTGAGTGTAAAGGAAGAAAGAAAGTAATTCCTTCTTCAGTTCACTACTATGTGTTTTTGACAAACACAGTTCGCTACTCTTCTAATTCTTAAAAGCTCACTAACATGCAATGTAGAAACAACGTATCTATTCCTCCTCCTCTTTTTCTTCTTCTTCTTCTTCTTCTTCTTCTTCTTTATCGCGTCAATGCGCACAAGCATTTTTTCTTTAACAATCCATACAAATGGATTCAATGCTAGACGAGCGTATGGAATCAATAATTGAGTCTCAATGATTGACAATAATGAATGAGAAGGATACAAAGAAACGAAACTAAGTAGAAAAAATAACACAATAGTTAACTCATTCTTTCCATTGATCACATCGATTAGACATACTATCAAGGGAAGTTTTTATTTTTTTCTTCTTTTTTTTGGGCAGTTCTTTTTAAATCATAGAAATAAGAATAGATTGATTGATTATTGAAATGTAATTGAATAATTAATATAGAAGAGTTTATAAATCAAAGAAAAATTCAAATGAATAGAAGAAAAATAAATTGTGTGCAACGTGTCGGAAAAGATTAGTTCGGATGATGAATTTCTGAATGTGTGTGCATATGCACGTAGTATAGACGAGATAAAAATACGCTCCCTAGATTATTGATAAACAAACTTAGACCTATGAAAATCTTCTAAACATTATTAAATAAACTTCGATTATTTATAAAGAAAAAAAACGAAAGAAAACAACTACGTAGTTCAATCACATTGATTATTCTATTGTTTTAATATATCAATTTTTTATAAATCTTAATTATAAATATAGATAAATGTTCATCTCTAGGGAAGTTAAAATAATTAGAAAAATGAACTACCTGAGTTTGTTGTAAGCCAAGAAAATCTGATATATAAATACGATTACTACTTTCATAAAATAGTAAATTGTTGTTTTTAATTTTAAACATTGGAATAGAAGTAAATATGAAGATTATCGAGTTTTAAGTTGGAAGAACTATTATAGTCTTACATTTCTTTTGTTTTTTGTTATATCATATATATATATATATATATAGATATATGTGAAAGAAAAGTCTTGTCACGAGTATCTAATAGAATCACGAACTGTCTCTCATTTGTTATTATTCAAGTGTGAAACAATATGGAAGAAAAAGAAAATGATCAACATCCCTTATTCTATAAGACAATAAACTACAAGAACAAAACAAAAAAGTACAAAGTTAATCAAGCAAAATGTTACATTAATATAGAAAAAAAAAGATGAATTAGAGATTTTATAAAAAGAAAAATCTCTTTTTCTCTCTCTTCTATGACATTCTTCAATTAGGGATGTATTACCGTATAAATGATCAAAATAGCTATATCTTGAATAGATCTTTGAAAAATAAGTACTATTTTCTATAGAAAATAATACATGACATTTAGTAGAAATGATTCTTTTCTATTACTGAATATAGATGAATGAAAAAATATTTATATATTCTAACCTGAGCAGCATGGCTGGGTAATGGTGAATAACAAGAAAGACGATGAAGCGGTCGAGGACAATCAGTGATATATTCATCCAATGTTTTCATTGTTGACATTGACATATTTTTAAATGAATATTGTCAATCGATTGAATAATAAAAAGGTTCTATTTGATAATTGTCGAAGTTTTAAAAAAACAATATTTATTCAATATAAAAATGTATATATGTGAATGTGCGCATCTTTCTTCATGACATGTTGTTTATTGTCGATGTCGAATGACGAGAAAACATTAACAAAGATAGTTGAAGATGTCGTGTGCAACAAAAATATGAGGATGAGTGAGAGATTCTTATTAATTCTAATCGTATTAGAAAAGAAAAGAAGAGATCGAACAGCAGAAAAAAGACAGTCAAATCAAAATATTTCATCGGAACTATCAAGGAAGAGCAAGAAACTCTTTTTCTCTTTGATGTTAGGTTGAACGCCGACTCGCGTACCGTGTAAATTTAATATAAATATATACGTTGCCCAACTCTATTCTCATTATTAAACAATATTCGATTCCCGTGCGCGTTCACGCAGATGGAATTAGAGGCGGAATGATGAATAAATGTTGCATCCGCAAGCGTGATATAAACTGAATAGGCCGATAGCGACAGGCAACCAATTAGTACTACTTCCGACAGATGAAACAAGAGACAAAGATTGGTCTATATTGCTTTATGATCTCAATAAACGTTTAAAATTTCTCAAAGACCTAATATCAAATAATAAAGATGAATTAACTCAAAAGAATTTCTGTCCTATCCTATTCATAACGATCTATATAAACATATTTCTACTCATCTCTCAAAGAGTTATCTCTCAATAGAAAAAATTTTATATTCGACATACTTCATTTTTAACATTTTGTAAAATGCAACATACAAACTTTCTTACACGAGTCAAAATGAAGCAAATAATCTACTATGAACATAATATGACAATTTTTTTCTAGAAAATTGATTATAATTGAAGGTCGATGAGCAAGAGATGTTTTTTTCTGTAACGTAAGATATTAATATACAAGCACAATCTATAGTATGAAAATGTTTTCCGCCGATTATTATCCCATTAGCTTCATTATCTCCAGGTAACTGAAGAAAAATTTTCCTCAATCGAAAAAAAAGACATTTCCTCTCGTTTGTAGAGTTCATTAACATTCAAGACAAAATCTCGACAACCTTTCCAACATTTAATCTATTATATAGATAGAAAGAATAATAAAGTTTAACTTAGATGTTTAGTTACATATATATATATGCAACTTTCAGAGACAATTAAGTTACGTATAAATTATTTTAAGAATTCTATTGTAAATTTTCTGATTTTTTTCTGATTTAGTTAGATTGATATTTTTAGATGATAATAATAATAACAAGTATTCACATACATTGATTTCTTTTCTCTCAAGACGATTAAGCAATCCATCATCAGTACTAGTTAACTGTTACTGATGGGTTTGACTTAATCTATTACTATACCCCTTATTTACTATTTGGGACATTTTGCAAGTGTTTTGTCTCGTTAAAGAAAAATGCTTAGGTTAGTTGATTTCAACATCTGTCGTCGCTCGAAGGAAACGATTCTATATGTGAATATATATATATATAAAATCAAAAATCAAAAAAAAACAAGTATATAATAATGAAGTGTTGTTGATAGATGTTTATTTCCTCTTATAAATAGAGATTCATTCAAGCATTCATTAAACATCGAAATAAAATTTATCTTATGGATAGAAAATAATTTTTTAGATGGAAGAAAGATTTCTATAGAATTAAATTTTTTTTCTGTTTCTAATGGCATCATCATCATCATCATCATCTGCTTGAAAGAACATAGAGACATATGTGTCTAAGATAGATAATCTTTCCCTTCGTCCTCTTCTTCTTCTTCGTCTTCTTTTTCTTATATGTCAGTATCCAACAGTGAGACTAATTATATTTTGTCACATACCAATGTTGAGGTCGTAAAACTTGCTTTACGCAATTGAGAGTTTCGACGTTGATGATAATTGATAATCGATGTGCGGCGTTGATGTATAGCAAGACCAGTTGCAGTCATATTAGCTGCATTGATCATTGATAAACGACGGGGATCAACATCTAATAAATGTCGATTAGCTGGACTTGAATTAATTGTTAACGAGTTAGATGAATTATTATTTGAATTATGTGTGGACATTGTGTGAATAAAGACGATCAAGGAAACAACAGATATAAAGAAATTTTTGCAATAAATAAATAATAAATCAAGAGTTAAAACGAGTGAATTATGTAGTTGTTTTTGTTCTTATCGTTGTCGTCATGGATGTTACCGACCACCTACCATCTCATAAGCGCATAAAGGATACACAAGAGAAGAGAGATAGAGAAGAAGATAGTTGATGTATGTAGATAGAAAAGATTTACTCGGTGTCGTTGCTTAAAGAAAAAACCATAATGATATGTGCTTTCCTAAAGGGAAAAAGAAAGTCAATGCAAAGAATCGAGAAGAAAAGCGAGAAACACAGTCCTGTCGTGCCTGACGATCTCTATTTAAATGAATACAATAATCATTCATGATGATGATGATGGAAGGGCTCTTTTCCTATTTTCTAGCATTCCATTCCACTTCTCTCCCTCTCCCTCTCCCTCTCTCTCTCTCTTTCGCTCGTTTTACGTCTCAGTGCCGGATAAAACTTGCCTTGCCGGTTGATGTTATGTACACATGATGAAACAACGACAACGACATATATATGTTTCCCTCTTTTTGCTCAATAACAAATGAACGAATGAAGATTTGTCGTTGTCGTTCGCATTATCATGATTAATTCGATTGATTTTTTTCCTTTGTTTTCATAATAGATTTCGGAAGACGAACAAAAAAAAGAATAAGAACGATGAAACACATAAATGATCTCCCATCGAATGCTAACTTGAATTAGTTCGTTGTCTATTTAACTGAAAAAACCTATTCATTAATTTCGAATATCAAAGAACAATGATAATGACGATGATGATTAGTTGAACTAATTCACACAATTTCTTTTCTTTACACAAAAAAAATAAGATTTTCTATTGAAATTCTTTCAATCATAGACAAGTGACTCGATTGATTTCCGATCACGACCTAATCAGTAGTATGTATCATATCTATCTTTTTCCGATATTGAAAACAAAAGTCTTAACCATTGGGAATTCTTTTTCTCTTTTGTATTTATTCAATATGATTAATTTGATCGTTCGACATAAAACTACTATCAACTTAATATGATCATCAAAGACCTTCAGTTTCTTTTCTTTTTTTTTCTTTTCTTTTCTTGTCCAAGAGATCGATGATACTTTGCTTGTATCCTATATACAAATTATATGATATATATATACACACATATACATATATAATGAAGCACAACATGAGAATATTGTTGTTGTTGTTGATACTGTTATTTTTTTTTGCTTCTCGAGGCGTTTATAACAACATACACAAAATGATACGCTAAATGGATTAGACGACACTTTCCATTTCTGTACAACATATGTCCTTTATTTCAATTGCTTTTTTTATCGACACACATATAATTACAAGATTTTGCGTAGATGAATTTCAGGACAAAAAAAAAGAGAGATTATTAAAATATATGAGAAAACAAGATGCTTGTAACTATATCCTAGAGAAAATCATTTTTTAATTTACAACATATTGAGACAAAATTAATTATAGTTAAGTGTATCTTTCTATTATACAATATCAATAAGAAAAGGGGCCACTAAAATCGTAATTAAAATGTTTTTCTATAGAACAAAATAAAGAAGAATTCTATAAAAAGAAGAATATCTTTTTTGTCCCCTAGAAACATATAATTTATAATAAAAAAAGGAACTTAAGAGAATTTATTTCAGGAAATACTATTGAATATAATGGATGGTTAAATTATATTTAACTATAATTATCTGTTCCGGAATTAATATAAAAAAGATAATTAGAAAATTAAATATTTCTTTTTTCTTAATCTTTATATAATATTCTATACGCACCTTTTTAAAATTATCTTCTAATTGATTCATTACCATTCATCAGGTTATTTTCTATCTCTTTATTTGGAAAAAAAAAGTTTTTTCTTTTAACGTTCGATCTTTCCTTTTTTTTTCTTTTCTTCAAATATTTGTTTAATATACACAAATCATTCTCTGATGATGTTTTATGGGAAAAGAATTCATTTCGAGTTGTTAAAAAATAAATATTTATATTAACTTTGACAACAAAATAAGAAATCATTTTTATTACCTCATGTGATCGACTAAAATCTCGTTTTTGTAGAAATTGTTTTCGTTTCATAATACCCATTTTACCAATATTTTTTAATTCCATATCCTAAAAGTAGATGTCACTATTAATTTTCAATGAAAAGAAAAGCTTAGGAATATATAGTTTATTTGTGAAATACTTAAAAATACACAATCTTATTAGGTGTTCTTTTATTATTATTATTATTATTATTATACTTCTTACTCTTTTTTTGTAATTCTCTTCGTCCTATTGTTCATTATACAATCATCATCAGCAGCAATACTATCGGAAACGCATGCTCTCTTTTCTTATTTCATTCACCCCTTTCCTTCCCGCTCTTTTGTAGTCATCATCAAATAATGAAGGCAAATTCCCAAGATGAAATTTGACTGATTGACATTATTCTTTAGTATCACCGATTATGCTCAAATCAATTTATCTTCATCGTTCTCATTTTCTTTTCATTCTAGATTTGTAATACATACTTATAAATCAGAAATGATATATAATTATGAATAGGCAGACTATGTTTGTTAGGTATCATTATTCTCTTTTCTTCATTTTCATATACACATACAAGAATTGTGTTGTTAAACGAACTACTTTTAATATAACAGGAAATCTCTCATGTCAATTGATATATAAGAGATCGTACCTTTATAAAGAATACTATTAACACATTGTTCAATCATATAACTAGTTTTCTTTACTTTTTTTTGTTAAAGAATTTAATACTAAAGTTTTTCTCAATTTTAATTTAATTGTCGAGTATGGAAAAAAAAACGATGAAATATTCTTTGTCTTTCTTCATTTAGAAAAAAAGAAAAGAATTATTTCAACAAATTAAATTTTAATTTCTTTTTTTCCCTCTTTCTCTTTCTACCTGTCTTTTATGACCATCATCAACTTTCAAGGTATCAGTAATTGTCATTGGTTTCCATGGATCAGCTGTTAAATATGTAGGTAATAATGTTGTTGAAGACGGTAATATTGCATGTTCACCAATTCTTTCTTGATATTGAAGTTTTCTTCCATGGAGAGAACGGTCGGCTGCTAATGATACGGGTGACGGAGTCTTTTTTAAATTTAATTGATAATCCATCGATTTTTATATATTTCTATTTGAATCAATTATATATGTTGAACAGTATTTCTAATGCCAAACGTTTATCTAATGATAATAAATACCAGGGGCACCTATGTTCGTGTCAAATATTCCAGTAAAACTTGTCACGAATATGAACATTCTAAAGCTCCTATGTTAATATAACTAACAATAACAATAGCTATTGCTTTTTCTTTACTAACCATTATGACTACAAACTAACAAACAAAGAAAAAGAGAGAGACACAAAGAGATAAATAGACATAAAAGAGAGAGGGAGAGACAGAGAAATAAATGAAGCTAAGGGAAAAATAATTATGCTTAGGCATACGCGTACATTTATAGAGAGAAATAGAAGGAAGAACTTGACTTCTCTCAACAATAACTATTCATGAGAACACCGACGTCAATGAGAAGATTTTCTTAATACGAATGCGAAGCGCTCATAACGGAACCATTCTAATCGTCCTTTTCTTTTTTCCATTTTCTTGCGTGTGTGTTTTTCTCTTTCACTTCCTTGTTTATCGTTCAACCAATTCAAAAAATAATTCAACACACGCACAGGTGCATGTCTTTCATCTAGCTTTTATTTAATCAATTATGACACAAATTATTACTCTTTGCATTCAATATATATAGTATATGATTATAATCAGTTTATTAATATTTAACTAATTAAAATTAAATTTTAATACTTACAAAACGATATGTAAAACGAATTGTTGATGATGTATTGATCATAGTACATCTATACATTACTTTTATGTCAAATAAAGATTTTTAAAAAGAAAAGAAACGTTTTTTTCCTCTTTTTCTTTTTTTGACTAATTTATTAACCTGCCAGTGAAATAGAGTGCTCTTCAATTTCCGTTATATTCTTTTCTTTTCTTACAAGAAAACAGTCAGTATTCATCTTTACTCTTATTATATGATTTACATGATACCTATATGTCTTTATGACATAAAGTAGTGAAACTAGCTGAAGTAAATAAAAAATAACTTAATTCAGATTAATGAAACCATTAGGAAATTATAATTTTTATTATTTATAGAAAGTACTTTATATTCATTGATTAATATTTATATAATATATATATATATAAACAAAATATCTAAAGTTTTGATCACACAAAAACAAAAAAAAATGAATGCACATATAAATTATCAACGTGGAAGCGTATTAAATGTTGTTATCTGACATGATTTTACTGAACATGAATCAAACGTTGAACTTGATGATGAAGGTATTGTATCTAAAATTGAAGATTTTTATTTATTTTCTTCTATGAATATTTATTTATATATTATTAACATACTTAAAGTTATTGGCCGTTTCCATTTAGAAAAAGCTAGAAGAAAAAAAGAAAAAGATAATCAACCTGTCATCTTATATTAAATAGGTTTTAGAAGAAAAACAAAATTCAATTATAATTCATCATTTCTAACGGTAATCATATTTCACAGAACAAAATTCTTCTTGTTCTCTTTTATTATATAAGATTTTTCTCAGAAAACCTTTGAGAAACATTTTCCTTGTATTTGTCGGTTAAGTCTGGCAGATAGTTTATATCTACCAATTATTTACAGACAATCTTAAATATCTGTCAAATATGGTAGACAGTTCAATGTTACAAGGAAATCTTGTACAACATATCGATCAATTTATCATAAAATGCTTCATTAATTCTCTATACAACAAAAGATAAAGAATAGAAATGTTATTTCATTATGTTCTATGATTTACAGGAAATAAAAAAAATCTTTTTATATATTGATAAATTCATTTCTTATTTGCGTTTTTTCTTATTGATTGAAAAACTTTCTAATATTAGATTAAAAATTTATCTTAGTATATAAATCTATATCTATTAATTGATTTAGTATATTGAAGAGAAAAAAAACAAAAAGGTTTAATAAATGTCAACAATAATCAAAAGGCATATTTTTTTTCTTTGTTGTTCTATTAATTATTAAATAGTGTTCTTTTTATTCATTAAATCTTTTCCTTAGAGACTAATTTGTATATATATAGTTTACGATCACAGCTTATTTATTTCTCAAGGGAAAACATTAAGAAATGAAACTTCGAGAATCCCTTCTTAAGAATCAATATAGACTAGTCTGATATGTTTATAAACAGATTTTAATTATAAAATTTTCTAATAATAATAAACATCGTCTTACCTTTTGTCCATGGTAAAAATGGACTTCGTTTTTTCTCTTTTTTATCTTCTTCTTTCAATTTAACCTATTGATAAAAAACGTCAAATATTAATAAGAAAATAAAAATTCATTTCACATACGAAATGATTTGGTTTTTGTTCATTAGATTTTACTATTTGTTGTTTTGAATATGAGATTAATTTTCCTTGAATTCCATTTTGAATACAATCTTTATACATATCTGACTTTAAAAATCTTGTATAGGAATCATACTTCATCAATTGAAATATCTGAGATTGAGCTTTTTCATAAATATGATTACTAGGATTATTTAATAATAATTGTTGACATTCTTGTCTTGTTCGATTATCAATATTGATTCGACATGAACCATCATCAGTATCATGCAAATATGTTGTCCAAATTGTATTAGCTTTCGTACGAATCTAAAGAAATTTAATTAGAAATTTTCAAAAAAAACAATTGATTATTAACCTCATCTGGATCTGTTAATTTTTTGAAATTTTCACATTCAATCCAAAATTGAATATTTTCTTGACTAAATTCTTTTTTTAAAAATTCTGTAAATATATGCAGACCCATTTCATCATTAAGTAGTTTTTCAAAAGACAATGCCCATGATGTTACTAAACAATGTTGTTCATTAAAATCAATTGAACCTTCATTAATACTTGTTTCATGTTGTGATAATAATTCATCTTCATTATTAATAGCTGTTATAGACTAAACAGAAAAACAAATATATATAAAAATATTTAGAAAATAAGAAATATACCGAAGCAGTTGTTAAAATATAAGCTGAAGCAAAACGTGCACGTAAATCTTCAATAGATGGCGGATGATCAACAAATGGACTTGAAGGATGATAACGAAAAGCATTTGTATCAATCAAATGTGAATCATTAGCAATTGAATGTCGACGAGGTTGATGATCAATCCATAAGAATTGACCTGTCATTGTTGTTGTTGTGGTTGATGATGAACCTGTTCCTCCTAAATCATTATCGAGTAAATCACCATCGGATAAAGACGATGAAGATGATGATGAACATGGAACTGGACAAGAATCATCATCTTGACCAAATCTTAATGATAAAATATATAGAGATAGATAGATAGATTATTGATGTTAATAAATAAAAAAGACTTTTTTACTCAGGTGGTGGAGGAATACTTCGTTCATCTTCTTCATCATCTTCTTCAATTGAAGATCGTAATGGATTTGGTGATGATGATTCAACAGATGATTGTGATGTAGTTCCTGTTGTACAAGAATCAATATTCGAATCAATTGATGTTGCACAAGAACTATTTGTTGAACATGTATCTAAAAATCATTATAATAAAATTTTTAGATTAAAAAAAACAGATTTCCGTCAATATTATAGGAATTTTTAAAAGTTCGAGAATCGATATCTTAATCCTAGTTTTCTTTTGTCAAACACTGATATGGGTTTTAGTAAATGAGAGAAGTAGAAACTTCTAAGTGTGTCCAAACGATTTCACACATGAAAGTAGTACCATTACAATAAATAATTTGACATTTGTATGAATTATCGATACTTTTAAAGTATCTTATACACTGAACTCATAAAAATGGTCTATTGACTATTCAAATTGTTATTATAGTCTAAGAAATTAATGAAGTTAAGATAGTTTGAATGATTCAACCAATATTTTTCTCCATAAAAAGATCTAAATCATTTCTAGCATGTAAAATCTTCATTATAATTCAAGCATATAATATGTGATTCAACGAAACTAAAGCATATAAGAATATTAAAGAATACAAAAGGATGCTCTTCCATATGAGTTCACTAAACACATTCTGAGATATTCTAGTATTTCATGTCTACGATAAAAATAGTTTATCTCTTTCAAAAGTACATAAAAATTCTAAGAATAGTTTTTGTAGCAACCTGCATGAGTTACCAATTAACAGGAAAGATCGTTTCCTTCATCGAACTAGAGCCAAAATACATGATTTTGAAACAAGTAGATTATATAGGTTTCAGAAGTTTTAAAAGAATCTTCTAGATCAAATATGGTGAAATACAGAAAGAAAGCGTCTGATGAATCTATGCATACTTTTAGCATGTTGGCCTATTCTAATGCTTATTTCATTAGTAGCTCTTCAGGAATCACTGTTAGGGGTAAAGAGTTCTCATTTAAAAGTTGATATTTATTTTTTAACAAACCTGGTTCATCTAAATTATTTTTTCTATGTTTATTATCCATATTACATTGTTGATTTGAACAATGTTTCGCTCGAGTAAATAAACATTGAATAATACGATTCCGTTCATCAATTGATGATGCACGAAAAACAAACATTGAACTTGAATTATGTACATATTGAAATTTATTTATATTTTCATCAGTTTTAATTGAACAATAAAGTATAAGTGCAAATAATGTTGGTTGAGTATGAAATAAACAAATATAACTTAAATATTTTCCAGCTAAGAATTTAAACCATAGTGGATTGATTTGAAATTGTTTACATTGTATATGAAATTGTATTTTAGTTGATGTTGGATTTAATATTGAACGTTTAAGAAATTTTTGTATTTTTTTAACTAATTCTGTTTGATTTTTATTATTATGATCAATATCAAAATAACCAAGAAAATCAATTGATGAAAATGTATATAATGTTTGATGTTTAAATGATAATGATGATTGTGAATCAATAAGATTAACACCGGGTGTTAACGATGAATACATATCTTTTAATAGAATAATATCATTTATTTGTGATAATAACATTCGAAGATTTGTACTAATTAATACTTTGGAAAGACGTTGACGATTTATATTAGGAAAAGATTTTTGATGATTTATTATTGGATCTGATGCTGTACTTGCTGTTGAATCTTGTGATGATGATGTTAAAGATTCTCGAGCTTTTTTATAATAATGTTTTATAGGATATTTATTAACTGTTGATGATGATGATGATATTGTATTAACATCACGAAGAATTCGTCCACGATGTCCATCATTAACTGAGATTTTCGATGTTATATGACAAGATGATGGGGATAAAATATTTTCTTTACAATTAATACTATCATCTTCATCAATATCATCATCGGGATCAAGAACCTAAATAACAAAAAATTTCTTTTATACAAAAAACATTAAAATTTCTTACTTCAAGTACAAGAACATTTGTATGTTTAGCATAAACAAGTCTTTTAACATCATCATGTCTTGCATCAAGTACATTATATCCATTAACTTTAGCTAAAATTTGTCCGGAACGTAAACCACATGCTTGTGCTAAACTTCCTGAATAAACACATATTGAACAAGGTTGTTCATATTGTATTGCAAAACCAAATTTATCTCGTTCACTTCTACGACGTAATTCAATTCGATGTAATATTGACCGATGATGTTCATTCATTTAAATTTTCAAAATCTTAAATAATAAACAGACAAAAAGAAAAATCAAAATTAAATTTTTGTTTTTTTTTCATAGAAATATAAGCAATATTAGTTTTTTTTTCTTTTGTGTATGTGTATGTGATGCATAAAGGAAAAAATTTTTGTAAAACGTATATTCAGAATTATAGATAAGTTCATATACACTGTTCAACATCGACGAAGAACATATATTTGCCTAAACACTTTTCAAATCTTTTGCATTATCGATGAGCATTTGCAATGCATACTTCAATCTAAAAAAGATTTATTTATGAAATAAAATTTGAGTAATGTTTTTTTGACTTACACATCGAAGTCCTTTTTCCATTGGATCAACCATAAATATACCATGAGGATTAAGAACACTTTCGTTTTTTTCTTCAATATATTTTGCTGCACGTTTGACACACTAATATATAAAAACAAAAAGACATTTTTGTTTTTGTATTATTTTATTAAGTTTTTTACTTTTTCATAATGTGTAGGCATACAAAGTAAAAGTAAATAACCTGTTAAACAAGTACAACAATTTTCCATAAATGTTGTACATGATAATGCTTCAGCATCAGCAAAAAATCTATTTATATCACGTAAAATTTCAATAAATTCTTGACGATCTATCTAAATTACAATTTGTATATGCATAGATATAGAGAGTGAAAGAATAAGATAAAAACTAATTTACTCTTCCTTCAAGTTCAGCAGGAAAACGTTCTTGAAATTTAACAGCAGTACCCTCAGAATAATCACGTTGAATAAATAGTTTTATTGAATGATCATTTGTTAATCGTGTTGTATCCTCCATTTGTAAAATAGAATTTATTTTAAATTCTTTTACATCACATAAACAAAAAAAAGACGAGACAACGTCTTGATTTATTCAATCATTGGTCAATAGGATGCATTGAATCATGTTACTAACAGTACTAGATGACGCTACTGAACATCAATATATTGTTCATTATGAAACTTTTTTAAAGGGTGTGAATACAAGTGTATGAGAGGAAGAATAAATGAAGATAAGACGTTACTTTTTCAGTTATATTCATATGGGCAAAATCATTTGCTAGAGACGTGACTTCACAAAAATTGAAACATGCTTATCTGACGAATAGAGAACATTTTCATGGCTATTTTTTATATTTTATACAAACGTCAAGTTACTTTAGGTGTTGTAAAAGCATTTTTCGATCACGTATAGATTTAAAAAAGATATTTGATTGACTTTTTCGTTAGCGACGTGCGTACAAATTGTTTTTATGGGAAGAAATCGAAAAGGTACGAATCCTCCCTCTGGAATTTGAGATTATGACACGATAGACATTTTTGTTTTGTGGCTTCATACGTCCCGTTTTGGGGGTCGGATCTTGTTGAAAATATTATAGTTCGACTAATTTTAACTGAGTAGTAGATGAAAACGCCAGGATTTAGTCAAATGAAGGCAGTACATGTCCTTTCCTACTTGATAGAAACACTGATGAAACGAGTAGATATGACACGATACTGAGAACTTTTTGTATTAAATATTTCACAGCAACTAGATAAAATATAAAATCGAATTTTATTGTAAATGAATTCTAAGTTTGTTGCCCCTAATAACTTTATTTATCCCAAACAGCAGAAAATCGTTATAGATTGATATTGTCTTGCTAATATAATAATGACAAAAACAAAGAATAATGAATAATGTTGTTTCACGTTTATTTAAGTTGAAAGTCAAAGATAACAAGAATGAAGAAGGTAAAGAACAAAGAACAAACTCAATCATGCGGAAAGACCAGAATCAAACTTATCATTATCTTTTGTCTATTTTTTTTCTAGATTCCCGAGAGTTTTTCATCAATATATGAAAAAAACAAAGAAAGACCAATAAACAATATCACTTTCTCCAAAAAAAGGAAAAAAAACAAACGTTAATAGGTTATGATAAACAAAACAAGAAGAGAAAAAAAAAGAAAACAAATCATTTCGTTCCTCCCTTTGCACCGCGACGAGCTCCACGAGTAGGAGGAACACCTTCATAATACGATTGATTATAGAATGATGCTGCTGGATAACCAGTTGATTGATAACTTGTTGGTGAAGCAGCAGTTGGATATGTTGGACGAAATGTATGTGGAAATGGGCGACGTTTTTTAGCTTCAACATTTATCTTTTGTGTTTTCAAAAGATTTTCATGATCAGTAACAATAGCTTTTGCCATTTCAATTGATTGACAAACAACAAATGCAAAATTTGCTGCGCCAACTTGAGATCCTGTATTACCAATACGAACAAGAAGAAGACTACCATATGGTCGAAATAATTCATGAATCTATGAAAATTCAAATTCTTAAAATTACAAAAATGTTTTTCACTTTTGCTCTTACTTCATTTTCTGTTACTTGAGCTGAAAGATTTCCAACAAATATTTCTTGATCATCTGTATAACCAGTTGAGAGATAACCTTCTTCAACATTTCCATAATACCATGAATCATCATAATAATCATTCGCATCTTGTGGATGACCACGTGGTGCTCGATTATTAGTATTATTAGTACCACTAGATTTTGCTGCTGTTTTTTTCTGTTGTTTATTTGATTTATTTGATTTTGCTGTTGTTGGAGTTGTTGCTGTTACTGCTGGTGTTGCTGGTGTTGTTGTTGATGTTGATGGTGGTGATGTTGGCTGAATTTCAGTCGATGTAGTAGTTGTTACAGGTTTCTCTTTTTTACCAATAGCATCTCGATATGATTTAGGTTTTGATGTTTGCTCTTTTGCTTGTTCAACAACTGGTGTTATTGGTGGAGTTATATTAAGAGTTGAAGAAACATTCTTTTCAGGTTTACCTTCTTTTTTATCAACAATTGTATTATCAAAAAATTCAATATTATTTGCCGCTGATGGTGTTATAGGTGTTTCAATTATTGTTGATGAATTCGCAGTATCCGCTGGACTTTCAAATGATGTTACTAAATTGAAATACAAAAACAAAAATCATTTCTTTACAAGACATGAGCGTATTCTCGAAAGATGTTAGATTTAAAAATTTCGAATGGAAGTTTACGATTTTCCTCAAATAGGTCTATAGCTTTTTTCAAATATTTTCTTACCGATATTTGACACTTTTTATAGGATAACTGAACAAAGACTTGCATACTCGCTAAAAATCATAGAATATTTATTCACATATTCTAGCTCAATTTGAACCAAATTATTGTCTGTTCAACCCAGTCAACTTATATAGTTTTCAATGTTTGTCTTGATTGTTGAAACTACAAGTAAAATTGAGATATTTTGTATATCTCTACACTCAAAATATCTGTTATTACAACAAACAACCATTATAGTATTATTTCATTAATCATTAACCAATCTACCTTCATTATTATTTATTGTTGTCATTGATGTTTTTGTATTATCATTTATTAATATTGATGTTGGACTATCTTGATAACGAAATATATCATTATGAACATAATATTTTTGTTTTGAATTATCTGCTGGTGTTAAAACAAATGTTTGAACAAAACGTTTCATAATTGGTTGTGTTTGAGAATCATTGACTGATGATGATGATATTTCTCCACAAACTTGTACAACAACTGATGAGCCAACAGTTGAATGACAATCAACTTGACGAATTTTAACATGACGTGATTTTAATGATAATTCTTCAATACGTTTAGCAATTGCTTCTGTACCAGTTACAGTTTTTAATGGATCATCATGCATAAATGTTGATGATGATGAATAAAATCGATGTAAAGATTCGGGATGTTCATGAAGAAGACGATAATATTGAACAACAAATGCTTTACCAATTTGTTGTGGTGTTGCATTTGTTGTTGCGGGTGAAGATGTTGTAGACATAATTATAATAACAAATATGAATATATAATCGAGAAAAACATTTAAAAAAAAATCTAAAATATTAATAAAAATTTCGTTACGCAATTCAACTCAATCATTTATTCTTATCTAAAAAAAGGAACGTTTAAAATACATTATTCGTTTTTCTTTTTCTGTGTAAGATCACATGATTTAAAAAAAAAAGAAGCAATTCTCTCGCATTTATCTTTCTTGTTTATTTAATTAAGTTAAAGAAGTGTGTACATGATAAAATATAGCTCTTCTAATTGTTTTTTTTTAATTCTTCATTTTTTTAACATCCACCACGTAATGCTAAAACCAAATGAAGAACACTGCCAGCATTGACATTATATTCACTAACTGTTTTATCGTCCATCATTTGTTTACCACCAAAGATGAGACGTTGTTGTGGAGGAGGAATTCCTAAAAAAATAAAATAATTCATAAAACTTTTCAGATATCATATGAGATATAATGACCTTCTTTTTCTTCAACACGTTCTTTGATACGTTCGATTTTATCTGTTCCATCAATATCAACTTCAATTTCTTTACCAGTTAATGTTTTTACTTTGATCATCATCTTTGTAATTTTTTAAATGACTCAAGTATGACAAAAATAAGACGAAATGACTGACTGAAATATTTCAAAATTTCTGTGTAAGGCAAGGTGAGAATGTATGAATATTCCAATCGGATTATCTTGGATATTTAATGGATTAGCAATCAGAATATTTCTCTTTTCCCAATATTATATTTGTTTATTTTTAATTTTGTTTTTTGAAAAAATATTTTCTAATGTACAATTATCAAATGAATATATAAGTTGAATCATAATCGTAGATGTCATCATTTTATAAATATCAATAAAGCAGAGGCATCTATTGGATATAAAAATGATAGACATAGTCTCTTATCAGTACATTCGAATTCGAGTTTGTTAACTGATATAAATGAACTAAAAAATGATAGGTAGTTTCTTTAAATCTGACCATTGCTTTACAAATATAAAACTTGAGTTGGTCGAATCTTCGTCAAACTAATTTAGGGTGGTTCTCTCACAATATGCCATCGAGATCGGCATGTCTTTCACTAGTAAATAATTTAGAAAAAATTATAATTTCGTCTGTTTTGTCGAGTTGCTCACAGTAAGCTGGTGCATAGGTACCGTGAACTTAGTACTTACTCTAGAGTTATATATTTTGAAGATAAATTTGACTAGTAATCATTCTTTAAATATTAGAATTGAGATAAAGAGTAATGCATCTACACAGAATACACAAGAAAATATTATTACCGATGAATATCAAATTATGAAGTATTCGTACTATTAGGTACAGCTTCTATAATTTATATTTTGTAAATTTCTTATTATAGATTGAAAGAGTTTATTACGTATGAGCAAAACTGATGAACTCAGAAATTATCTGAATGGAAATGACATTTAATTAAAAGAATATTAATATTTATTTTCGATGACGTACACAACATATCACATAATTATTTGTTTTCTGACAATGAAAGCGTTGTTCTAATGTTATTGAATGAGATTTCTAAAATCAATTTGTTTTTTTCGTCTACAGTAATTTTCATGATTAACTTTTATACATTATAAAAAATAAACAGCTATGTATAACAGAGCTATTATTTCTAAATATCTTCCTACGCTTCTAAAATTTTTTTCATAATTAATACACCCATCTGACATAAGCAGTTGTTGTTTATAAAGAAAATTTCTTTTTCTGTCTGATGCGACTGACATTCAACAATAGATATAAATACTGCTTATATTAAGAAAAAAACAGTTCATTTATTCAGTTAAGATATTTTATGACGTCTATAGTACCAACGTTTGTTGCAGTTCCTGAAGGAATTCGACTCTTTACTCTATATAGTACTTGTTTTATTGTAATATTAGGAATTATTGGAAATATTCTAAATATTCTTGTATTTAATACTTTAAAACTATTTCGAGGAAATCCATGTTCATTTTATTTTACTTTTGAATCTATAATGAACATAGGATCTCTTATTACCGCACTTATTTTAAATACAATAACCATTACTAGAACTACTGATACAATCTCATGTAAAATTCAATCGATGTTAATTGAAATATTTATACCACTTTCATTAACAACAGTATGTTTAGCATCAATTGATCAATTTTTTTCAACAAGTCCAATAGCTTATTTTCGACAATGGAATACACTTAAATCATCTCGATTATATACATGTATTGCTGTTTGTATTTGGATACTTCATAGTATTCCAATTGGCATATTTAGTTATTCTTATATGCGTATTATTTGTATATTATCAGATTTAAAATTTATTCATTATCAATTATACTTTTATTATCCAATTTTATTGGGTATTTTACCTATGTCAATATCATCGATATTTAGTCTTTTAGCTTTTCGTAATGTTCGTAAAATAATTCGACGACAGATACCAATTGATCGTCGTCGATTAGATCAACAAATGACCGCATTAGTATTTACACGTGTTATTGTTTTAGTTGTTTTATATTTACCATATGTTATTTATCATATGTATTGGTACAATCCTTCAATTAATCAAACAAATTACATGTATTTTATAACTCTATATTCAATTGGAGCATTTATTAATTCATTTATTCTTCTTAATAATGGAGTAAATAAATTATTTATTATTCTAATTTTATTATTATTCTTCTTAATTTCTGTTTTTAGATTCCATTTTATATATTTTTAGCAGTATCATCACGTTATCGTCGTCAAGTAAAATCGTTTTTAGTAAAAAAAATCTGGCGTCGATGCAAACGATACTATCATCTAAATCGAAATCAGATTATTCCTTCAAGAAAACTATCAGACGAACTTGCTACTAACATGGATTAACGGAAAAATATGTTTTTCTATGTACTCGATATCACCTAATCCTTTTTGTATATTGCTTCTTTGAAAATATCATTTCATGTATGAAAGGCTCATGTTTACTTAAATACTATTTTCACTATGCTAGAGATTATTAAGATAAAACGGGTAGTTGTGCGACGCTCAACCATGTCTGACCCCTGGCCAGGTCATTAAACAAAAACAAAATTCATTTACTTGTCATGAGTACTGATTTATTATTATTTTAAGATAATGTATATAGATAACAGCATTTTAATATTAAATAAAAGTATTAATAGTAATGATCAATGAAAGAATAGATGCGTGAAAAAATTCCATTCATTTATATAAGAATGATTGTACTCTTATAAAGTTAGATCATGGAAAGACGAAAATATTTCATACATAACTTAGTCATTTTCTTTTGATAAGATGAAATTGATTTTTCTCTCTCTTGACATGAAGAGAAATATTTGAAGAATGCTATTCGTCGTATTTCTGAACTTGATTATACGTTTGAATAGACAATCTTACTCTTTCGTTTCTCAATTGTAATCGTAAAAGTTTCATCTGATATTCTTTCAAACGTGGTTATTACTATGAAATGTTGTAATAACCTTACTTTAAAAACAAACTCAACATCATATTTTAATTCATAGCAATAAAATTCTTCAATATGAAACTGTATAAATTATCTCTATAAGTACTCTTATTCGATTTATATTATAATCTGTCTATATAATTAATCGAAATATTATAGTATGCATATATACTTCATATGAATCATTAGTAAAGCATTCCACAAATATATATATATATAAGAATCCATTTTGATAGACAATCCACTTCTTTAAATATTTGACTTTCGTTTCAGATAAAATCAAGAACATATAATGATCAATATTCTACGAAAAGTAAGTGACTAATAAATAAAGGTAATACTACAGGTATTTTATTATAGGTTAATATGACTTTTTTTTTAGATAAACAAATTTAATTTCATAGGCTAAAGATTAAGAAGAAGGCATGTGATAAGGTCGATAAAAAACATTTTTTGTAATATAATACTGTTAAAACATGTCATTTGTTTTCTCTTAATCTAATTTCAACATATATTTGAATTTGTTTTGTAAGTTGGAAGAGAAAATTTCGTAAATCATATATGTCATTTTTACTTCTGTTCTTCATTCGGAAGAAACTCAAGATGAATTTCCGAGTGATAAAAAAACAATCTGTCATGCTTTTTTTGGTCAAATAATCATGATATTTGCAAGTATAGAAAAAAAAAGCATTTAAAAGGATAAATGACATTTACTAAGCAATTTGTTCCTTTGTTTTTCATGAAAAGGTGAGTCAATAAATTCTCCATTTTTGTAACATGAGTCAGTTTTTTCCTGTGACGTACATGAAATTGCCATTTTCTTACAAATACGTATATATAAGCATTAAATCGAATGTATTTTCTCTGCGTATTTATTAAGAAATAACGTAGAAGGCATGTGAATAATGTATGTCGTAATACTGATTCTAATTTTTTTCTTTCTGTTGTAAGAGAAAAGATAAGAGGCGTAGGTGTTGCATCATTCCTAACTATATATATATCGCTATTTTTCAGATTTGTATTCCTTAAATAATGGCGGTATGTCTTGCACGTCAATCATCATTAAGAATGTCAACTGGAAATTATCCTCGAAAACTCTTTCGAGCTGCTACTTATGACCCAATGATGCCTCCAATGACCTGTCGAAAACGACTTTTAAGTGAACAAAATGAATGTCATAGTTTTGTAATGGAATTGGGTAATGACGATATTTATTCAAGAAAAAAACGAAAAATAGGTAATTATACAAGATAAAAATCTTATGTATTTGTTTTAAAGTGATTTTTATATTTCCTTCTCTTTTAATGCACTCCAAATATTTTACATTGCTTCATCATCTAACACGTTCTTTTTTTTTCTACCAATAGAATCCATGGAAAATGACTCAAGCAATAACAACAATAATCAATATCATCGTCATGTGCAATTCTTTTCCTCTTTTTCTTTCGAGAACACGACATGTATTGCTTCACCTTATAAACGTCGCAAAAGTTTTACGTCGTATATAAATAACCTGTCGTATCAACCATCAATTACTTTCAGTCAATCATTAACAACAAATAAAAATATGTTTGTCTGTCAACCAAACTCAGTTATTGATAATAACAATAATAATAATAATAGTGAAAATGAACAAGATGATAAAAATAATTATTCAAAATTTTTAACATCTTCACAATTATCAGCTTATATAACATCAATAATTAATAATCAAAATGGTAAATTACTAATCATTGATTGTGGATTACCATTACGATATAATGAACGACGTATAAAAGAATCATTTTTATTGAATATTAATGATAAATTATCTCGTAAACGTTTATTAAATCGTGGTTTAAAAAATTTTCTTGATCAAAATCATTTAAATCGTTTAAATCAATCAGAAATTGTAATACTCTATGATGATTCAACATCTTCATCATCATCTTCATGTTCAAATTCAAAAATTCAACCACAATTATCATCAACAATTAAATGTATATTTGACGAAATCAAACGATATGATATAAATAAAACAATTTATATTCTACAATCATCATTTGATGAATTCTATCAATATTATCCAACATTATGTTATGTTAGTTCAATAAATATCAGTTCCGATGATCATGAATTACCATCACCAACAATTGATATTGATTCATATGATATGTCAGAAATTTTACCTGGACTTTATCTTGGTAATGCACATGATGCTAAAGATAAAAATTTATTAGAAAAAAATCAAATTAAATCGATTGTAAATATTTCAAAAACAATACCATGTTATTATGAACAAGATAAATTATTTAATTATTTACAATTAATTTGTAATGATTCATGTCAAGAAAATATTCTTCAATATTTTGATAAAACATTAGAATATATACATAAAAATTTATTATTAAATCAAAATATTCTTGTTCATTGTCAAGGTGGAGTTAGTCGTAGTCCATCATTTATTATTGCATATTTAATGAAATATCATTCAAAAACATTTGATCAAGCTTATTCGATTGTTAAAGATAAACGAAAAATAATTAATCCTAATTTAAGTTTTCTTGCTCAGTTAACACGTTATGAACAAATGATAAGAACAATTACGCAGTAAAATATTTTTCATTTTCTTTTCTATGTTTTCATTTTCTTTTGTTATTGTATACGATATATATATATGTGTGTGTCAGATACGACATTATAATTTTCAATGGAATAGTAATGAAAATTTGTTTTTTTTTACTATTCTTCGTCGTCAAATACATACATTGGTGTCGAAATTACTCAAAACTTATTGAAAAGAAAATATACACAAGAATTCCGATAAATATTTAGTTAAGATTTAATGTAAAACAAATCTTGTTATTTCAAATTCATCAATGATACTTATGAATATGACGTTCTATAACCTCGCTTATAGTATGTAATTTTGACATATATTACGTCATGAATAGGTGTTATTCATTGACTAACTTTTTATTACTATTATATATATATTTAGTCTTTTGCAATAGACTTATATGAATCATATTGATGGTTATTAATGCAATAGTGAATATATTACTATGAATGACGAAAAGTGTTTTTATGTGAATATATGTGACAAACAAAAACTTTCTTTTTCTGTTATTACAAATATCGAAAATAACAAAAGTCGACAATATAAATATCATGTTAATGTCTAGAAATACAAAAGAATTTGTAATATTAATCTTTGACCTTTCAAACATCGATTCTTATTTTAGCTTTATTTATAAACGCAAAACAAAAATCTACAAATAGATTGATTAATCGATTATATTACATTTGTCAACAGCCATCTGTTCTTTTTCCGACGCAGCAATGATAAAAGGATTCTTTTGGTACCAATAGTACTAACGATTTACTGTCAAATGATTATAGAGTTTATCTATAACAGATATTTGTGAATATTTAAACCATATAACCTGACATTAATAAATGTATCATCGTTAATCGAAAAATAAATCCTATTTATAAAAAAATCATGCAAATGTTTCTTGATATATCTACATAATATTTATTTTATTAATCTTTGAATACGATTCAGTAATCTATGAAAACAGAAAATGAGAAGGTTTACATGATGTTTTTTATTTTTACATTATTAGTCATATAATCTTTCAACCAACATCTCTGTTAATATACTGTCGTAAATAATATTATATTCATTTTGAAACTTATTTTTTTATGATATAAAATATGTCGATGGAAATGTTTTCAACTCGTTGAAAACCGGTGGGGTATATACGCGTCATTGGTCCTGAAGTTTCTAGATATTAACTATCTATTTGTCGTTCTGGCTCATGTTGCTGTCAACTTATAGAACGTGTTATATACGCGGGTTATATCTCAAGCAGTAAACGAAGCTAATATAGAATTAGTAATCAGTTACTTCTATGGATTTCTTTTTTGCTAATTATTTTCAAACAAATAAGCCCAGCAGCGTAGGGTTAATTGTATCACACTGTTCAGTTATGATTATATTGTGAGATATTATTCCAACTAATTTCACATTACGTTCGAATTTATGATAACTCACAATAATTTATAAGAAAATTTTTTTCGAAATATCATTTTTCTATAAATAACTCTGTTGAAGCATTTTCTGATATTCATTTTATACAATACAAACTGAAAACAAATAAAAACAATTTGAAATAATACACATCACAAACAATAGAAGATATGATGCACAGAAGAATATACGTATAAGTACTTTTATTCCAGTGCAACACTACAAGCAGGTGATTCCGTATCCGCAATTGGATGAACTTTATTTATACTATGAAGAAACCATCGTTTGCATCGTCCCCAACAGTTCTTCACCAAAACATGTTTCACTTGACGACGGAATCGAGCAGATGTTATCACAAATACATAAAAAGGTGCCTAAACAATCACAGTTTAAAACATAAATCATATATAATATCTTACCGCATAGTTTAAGTTAAACAATGTTATTAAAACTGCTCCAATGAGGTTATTAACTGCATAATAAAGTAGATTTGATTGATTCACTTTTGCAATATATGTATACATTTCTTGAATATCATAAGGTAATGTTAAAACGATAAATACTATAATACGAATAAGTATCATTGCTGTTAATTGTTGATCAAGTTTTCGTCGAACTATTGGTACTTGTCTTCGAACTATTCGTCGAACATTATTATATGCTAGAAAACTAAACACTGATGCAATAAGAACTGGTAAAAGTCCAGATAGAACTGGATAATAGAAATAAGATATATAGTTTGACATAGTTTGATTAAATACAGCACAAATACATGCTCGAATTTCAAGAAATAGACCAAATGGTATAGTAAATAATAGTGAAATGATAACTGATGCACATATAAGAAATCTTGCTGTTTTAATTGTAGATAATTGTCTTAAATAGAGGAGAGGACTTGTGGAAAGATATTGATGAGAAGCAGAGAGGCATATTGTGGAAAATGAAATAAGTGTGCATGATGAAACCATGATACTTCGAAATTTACACCAAAAAGGTGATGAATTAGCTGGATCAGTTTGATATATTGCTAAGAGTATAAAGATGAGAGCGAAGGTAGTTAGTTGAAATATATTTGCGATTGATTCTGTGACAACATAGAGTACACATTGATTGTTTCGAAAGAGTTTCAGTGTAGTAAAAATAAGAATATTGAGTAGATTTCCGATTGTGCCAATGATAAATGTAAACGAATTACTATAGAGGGAGTATTTTTGAGTAAAACGAAGAATATCGATAGCCACGGATGACGCCATGATAATACAACTGAAATGGAATCTCTTACGAGGATTTGTCTATTTCTATTGTTGTGCTATATAAGCATCTATCAAACGTTTTACTTCTTATATTTATCTAACGTAAAGTCTATATTAATGTTTCTACATCAGAATGAATATGATGAATGATACAAAACTATGGTTTACAAACGTTATAGTTGATGAAAGAATCTTATTACTACCTTGAATGACGATGTCTACTAAATAATTGTATACTTTTAAAGTATAACTAAGTGCATAAGCTAATATAGAGAAAGATGAATAGACTGAATTGAATAATAGAAAGAAGGAACGCGTAAATAGGAAAGAGCGACAAACAAAGGAACTGACGATTCTATTGAATAGATGACATTATTACTAGTACATATAGAAGATCATAAGCTTCATTAAAAGAAACATACTCATCAATCTTTTATCAACGGTTTATTCTCCACTACTAATTATTGCTAATATTCAAAAACTCAAAAATTATCTAAATTTTCCATTCAATGAGTAATAATCAAGAGACTAACTTGAAAGTATATTCTATTCTGATAGAGTATACCATAATTTTACTTGTCTATCGGAACATCTTTGAACAACATGATAAGTAATTACGCTTTGAAAAGTGCGATACGCGACATAATATCTCATGTAATTTTTTATTATTTTCCAAATAATCTTCTTCTTATTGTTCTAAAATCTTGTCACATGAAATGGTGTCATCTTATTTACTGAAGAACTTTGTTTTAGATAAGATTGCTTGAACTCAAATTTTGATCATTTCATGTTCATATTATGAGAAACTATTTTTCAAAAAAACAAGATAAAAATATCTTTTCATTCAGGAAAAAGAAAGAATTTGATGTCGATATGCCACGCGAGGCTATCATGTGCAGATTTTGTCTCACAAATAAGGTCAAAGTAGATAGATAGTATTTTATTTGACATCTATATTTAAGAAGTGATCAGCAGTCATACAAATGAACTCTATAGATTGTATCTCACAACTAATAAATTCATTGGTTAAACTTACTAATTATATACAACCTATAACTGACCACATATTCACGAATTTTACCACTGTAGACATGTAAAACCAGATACAAGATTAGAGCAAATCGTGATGTTGTAGGCGCTAATTCTAAATTAAACATGGTCCCTCACTACAAAGAAATGCAACGACGTCTAGATCTCAAATACCGTCGAAAAACTTAACTCACGAGGGAACCTCCCCAGGTGTCAAAACCCGTTAAGCCCCATCTTTTGGCGATACATAGACCTCAGTGAGGTATGAAAAACCTCAAGAGGATTTGGGCCCATTCGCCTTCTATGTAGGGTTATAGGCATATTACTGAAATTTTTACCTATAGCAAGAGATCCACCAACAAATCGAATGTCAATATTTAGAGCTAAGATTTCGCCCACAGATAGGTCTATAGGTAGGTAGAATGCCCTGAAAATTTCAGCGCAAAAGAATGCTTCCTTCGCGCGATATCAAAGTCTCAAAAAACGAAAAAATTCTAGCATCTTTCAGAAGATAAGTAAGATTTTTGAGACTTTGATATCTCGTGAAGGAAACATTCTTTTGAGCTGAAATTTTCAGGGCATTCTACCTACCTATAGACCTATCTGTGGGCGAAATCTTAGCTCTAAATATTGACATTCGATTTGTTGGTAGATCTCTTTCTATAGGTAAAAATTTCAGTAATATGCCTATAACCCTACATAGAAGGCGAATGGGCCCAAATTCTCTTGAGGTTTTTCATACCTCACTGAGGTCTATGTATCGCCAAAAGATGGGGCTTAACGGGTTTTGACACCTGGGGAGGTTCCCTCGTCAGACATTTACTATCAAAGCTATCTGATCTTAAATTTAAACAAAATTTTTAAAACCATTTTCATATCTCAATCAATTTGATAGTGGTAATCGGGAAAAAGCATAAATATTCTCTTCTGATATAGCACACTAAAATAAAAACGAATTTTCCAATCCATTCATATATATATACAGTAATATTTTTACTTGGAAGTAATAATCAGTTTAGAACACAGAAATATAATTGCAACATGATCTTGCTATAGTTATCAAACTTCAAATGTATGAATAAAAATAGAAAAATTGATAGTTACTGTTTTTTTTTATAAAACTAATAAAATATGTTCATACTTTATTCGATATGTAACTTACGCATCTAAAATCATATACTGTATAAAAAGTCACTGAATGATTGAATAGGCATTTCAATGAATTTACTTATAATCTTCAGATATTCACGATAATTTTTCATGCTACAGATTCGATATTTGTAAATGCATGACTTATTAAACAAATGAAATAATATATAACTATATGGTACATAGTCTTTTTTCATGGGATTAATGAAACAATTTACTATCCCAATGTAAAAACACTCAGTAAAAATGTCGTAATAAAGTAATTGTCGTCATTAAAATAGAATGTTTTTTAAATCAAGATTACCAATTGCTGAAATAAGCACTTCCACTTTTTATAAGCGTGAATATCTCTTGATTATTCTCATAAACATTCATCATCAATACATAAATTTTATAAGTATTTAGGAGTATTTTCTGAGTGAATACCTTCATCTGGATAGATATTTAATTATTCATTAACTAATTCTATAATACTATGACAAAATTGTTTAGTATATTTTTAAGCTACACTCAATCCAATATATCTGTCATCATGTATCAATCAATAATATATTGATCATGTACGAAGAAAGTTATACAGAGGGAGTTTTATCGTATCGTGTAAACATAAACATTTCTATAGGAGAATATATTGTAATAAAACATTGATGTATTATCCAAAAATAAATTGCGATTTTTGAATTATTCTTTGTTTCACTATATTTAGAAACATTCATTATCTGTTTATTTATGGAATCAAAGGCTTTGATAAAATATCAAAAGAACGTTATTATTTTAATTCATGTCCACTGAAATATAAAACTTGCCATTTAAACTTTTTTGAACTAAAATGTAAAATTAATGAGAGTAGGGATGCGGATATTGTTTTTCTGGCCCAATATTTTTAGCAAATTTCACGGTTTTGGCTTCAAATTTTTGCGTGAAAATATACTATCGGCAAAGTATACAGGATCCGACTCTAACAGATGACTACAGTATTAACTACATAAACGTTTACGTCTGAAAAAAAAAGATAAGTTGTGTGATTCAGAACATTTAGCAACGCATTTTAATCATTTAGATTTTAAGAATATTTTAGAACATTTTAAATTGTATTGTTGTTAACTGTCTCCAGCACTTTATTTGTTACTATAGAATTATTAGAAATGAGTGTAGCAATTGTCGCATTCAGTTGCTGAACAAAGATTCTTACTCAATAACCGTCCTCGTTGATTTTCAATTCATATGATTTATAGAAAGAGATATAAAATTAATGTATAAACTTAATCTCACTTCTCTCTAAGAAAAATTGAACTGGAAAAGAAGTCATGAAAACTCGATTTATCGCTTACGTTCATTATTTTTATGTATAAGTGCTTAAGCTTTCATATCAAATTTTTACAATACCACTTTTATTTTACTTTATATGAGATTCAACAATATACACACAAGCTTATTATATTAGAGCTAAATCATTTTTTCATCCTTTTTTCAAGATCTCCAGATCATTCTATATCCAATCATATTCATTTCACATATATAACAATCCTTCAAAAGTCGCTTAGAATTAATTAATCACCCAAATTAGCCGTATATACACACATATAAAATCATCTTTATCACCTTTTCATACATTGACATTAGAACTTAGTATTCCTAAGTAGCATACATCTAGATCAATTTGAATACTTGATCATAGTATAGATTTATAGTTACAATGAAGTAATCAATGATATATATTTAATAATCTCTAAATTTGTCAAGTTAAATAAGTGTATTCGAGTTGTCTATTAACCTCATTCTACTACTAGGAAAAAAATTACAAATACATTTATGATTCTTTCAAGTAGTTCATGATTTAACAATAAATGGCAAAAAAATCAATAGTAAATATCAAAGAAAACAGTGAAGAAATTGTATGATCACGACGAGTTTTCAATATAGTCAAAAATTTACCTCTAGCTTTTCACAGTTTAATCATGTAAGAATAAATTGATGCTAATATTATCTTTATTTTATTTTGAATTAGATTATAATAATAAAAAAATATTTTGCAAACAAGTTAATTGTCGTTTTTAATCTAGCACGACACTAGATTCAGGTGATCTTATATTCTCATTTGGATTAACTTGATTTCGACTATGAAGAAACCATCGTTTGCATCGTCGCCAACAGTTCTTCACCAAAACATGTTTCACTTGTCGACGGAATCGAGCAGATGTAATGAAAAATATATAAAAAGATATCTATAAACAATTATATTTTAAAAACACAAATTATCTGTAATATCTTACCGCATAGTTTAAATTGAACAATGTTATTAAAACTGCTCCAATGAGATAATTAATTGCGTAATAAAGTAGATTTGATTGATTCACTTTTGTAATATATGTATACATTCTTTGAATATCATAGGGTAATGTTAAAACAATAAATACTATGATACGAATAAGTATCATTGCAGTTAACTGTTGATCAAGTCTTCGTCGAACTATTGGTACTTGTCTTCGAACTATTCGTCGAACATTATTATATGCTAAAATACTAAATACTGATGCAATAAGAACAGGTAAAAGTCCAGATAGAACTGGATAATAGAAATAAGATACATAGTTTGACATGCTTTGATTAAATATACCACAAACAGATGCTTGAATTACGGTGAATATACCAAATGGTATAGTATGTAATATTGAAATGACAACTGATGCACATATAAGAAATCTTACTGTTTTAATAGTAGATAATTGTCTTAAATGGAGGAGAGGACTTGTGGAAAGATATTGATGAGAAGCAGAGAAGCATATTGTAGAAAATGAAATAAGTGTACACAAGATAACCATCATACCTCGAAGTTTACACCAGAAAAGTGATGAACCAGCTGGATCAGTCTGATATAATGCTATGAGTATATAGATGAGAGCAAAGATCGTTAGTTGAAATATATTTGTGATTGATTCTGTGACAACATAAAGAACACATTGATTGTTTCGAAAGAGTTTCAGTGTAGTGAAAACAAGAATATTGAGTAGATTTCCAATTGTACCAACAGTAAATATAAAAGAAGTACTGTAGAGTGAATATTGTTGAGTAAAATGAAGAATATCGATAGCCATGGATGAAGACATTATGGTCCAAATAAAATAATATCTTTACTAATAACGCTTTCTTAGTCTTTTTTCTCTTTTGAAAGAATAAAATTAATTTAAATATATCCTTCAGGACTTGACAACAGCATGTTTGTTCTTTACAAGAGAGTAATTATTTTATTATGCCGAGATGAAATATTATATTTTGTAGATGACATAGAAGAAAATAATTTTATAGACAAATGACTTTACTCGTTGAGTGTTCCTTGAGAAATTTTGAAAGTGATTGAATTTTTAAAAAAGAAGCGTAAAAGTTATCTTAATTATTTTAATGAAATTGTTTAATAGTGACAGAATTTTCAAGTGATTTGTTATTAGTTTGATGTTACAGCTTATTATCCGATTAAAAATGTTTATGTAAAAATCAATTATAAAATTCAAAAAAGTTTTTGACGGTTGCTGGAAGGATTGAATAATACTTAAATATGATATAAAAATAGAACGAGCCTTCATTGTTCCATCAATCTTCTATTTTACGTATCATCAAATATTAGAAGAAGCTCAAATAAATAGCGTATAAAACGGAAGTAAATCATTGATGCATATGAGAAATAATAATAAATAAAATTTGCTTTAAAAGATAACTCTAAACATGATTGTATAATTTCCTATCTTGTGAAATACTATATTTTTGTTTATTATTTATAAACAGATCAGTTGAAATAAATGACAAGTATTTATAAAGTAGAATTGCACGACAAAAATGAACTTCAAATTGACTGAACACTTCTTTCTGCAATAGTGTAAAGAATCGTGTTTTCTGTTAGTATTAACATGTCAATTTAATAAGATAGACGGCTTTCCTGATATATGGAGAGAAACAATTCTTTTGGCTATGGAAGATTAATTATAGTAATGAAAAATGATTGCCTCTGCTGATATTTTGTTATATTTAGTAGTTATTATAAAAATATTAGCATACTGTTTAACTTTTATTGTTTCCTAAAAGTACAACTTGATAACTAATATCAAACATCCATTCTTAAGAAGAAAAACAAATATTCACGTTCTTTATCTATTGTATGGACAGAAATTCTTGAATATTTTTCACTTTTTCGTATTCTATTTGATTTATGATAGATGAAAATTATGATGTAATGTTGTGTTCATCAACATTTACTCTTCGCATATTCGAAATGATGCTTAAGATTTAACCATAGCTTTGATAATGAATTGAAAATTTGATCAACGTATATATAAAATAATGTGTGGTAAAATAAGATCAATTGATAGTCATCATCAAAGTTTCCAATAGCAGTTGTACACGGCATAAGCAAAATGTGCTGTACAACTGCAATTTTTTATTTACACTCTGATTTACAATTTGCTCGAAAAAGCAGAGTATACGGTGCACATTTTGCGAAAATGATTCACAACTTGATTCTAAAATGTCAGAGTCAGAGTCAGAGTCAGATTACGAAATGCTATGCTTATTTATCATTCATATGTTGGCTATTTAACAAGTATTTATATAAAGTACTCATGAAGAAACTAGAATTATTTCTGTTTTTTATATTGGAAAAACGTCATAAGTACACTTTGTACACTTTGCAGGCAAAAGAATGTGTACACTTACGTTTTGTCTACCTAAGCAAAGCGTACCAATACGTTTTGTTTGAACTTTCTATTGGAAACTCTGGTCATCATTAGTTGTCTAACAATACTACAATGTATAGTTTATTGGAATTTTTATATTTAGTTCTTTAAAATATCTGTGGATATAAAAAAAGTGTATCATCTTCCGAAAGCCATAAAATATACATTTAAACTAGAGCTTATTTTTCACACTTCATTCGATGTCAATGTAAATAAGTTTGTATTATAAAAACCAACAATAATATTACCATAAAATCTGTAATATGAATGTATATATACATTTTGTGTAACACGATCTAAAAGGAGTATGTTGAAGTGTTTAGGGGTAGAAATTTGCACCTACTACCCCCATCCCCCACAGACATGATCGACACATGTTCTTTTGACCTCGTCACAGACTGTGATAGTCATAGGTATGAACATTGAATTGCAGAACAAAATGAAAGTATTGAACTTATACTATTTAGAAAAGATAGATACGTGAGTAGTTTCTTGTATATTAATCGATTTTTCTCTTGAATTTTGTAACAACTGTTAAAATGCTAATTAAGTGAGTTCATCATATGTAAGTTATTTCGTTCTGATATTTCTATACCGTTATACCACAAGATGAGGCAAAAGCTACTTCGTAATGATATAATTAAACTATCTTCTCGAACATAGAAACAACATTTACAGCGTGTTTCATATTTTAATCCCGCCAGAGATTGTGCTATTTTAGTGGATAATTTAATCATTGTTGTCGGTTCAAAAGAATTTATTGATGCTGAAGGATCTTGAGCTTGCAGTGGTCATTAGGAAATCTATGCGATCTTCGACAATAAATATATATCATTCTTTGTCGATTTTTAATTATTCGAACGAATTGGATAATTTCGAAATATTTCAGGAAGATCTCAAAGAAATATCAAGGCATTTATACTACCTGAACAAAACGACTGTATACTCTTTAACTGAATCTGAAAAGATTTATAATTGACATTATGTTAATTAAAAGTTGCATCGTTATTAAAATATACTTTCACTTTCAAGAGAATGTTAATCCTAGATGACAGTTTTAAATTACTCTTTTAATGTGTTTATAAATAGAAAGAATTGCAAAATCTAGCGGTTAACAGCCGACAGTTTTTTGATATAAAAACAATAAAGTTGTTCCAGATTGGAATATTTAAATGAAGACTATCTCAAAAAGAAACTTTTAAGAGACATTTCTTCATCGAAATTAATAATAAGCATGAATACAATCATCGGTTTTTATCTTATTCAAAAGCATTAAAGCTCGTTTGTGTTTTTTAAGTATATAGATCATTTCTCTCCTCATAATATTTCAACAATATCAGTTTGAGTTTTATTGTCATACCTTTGAAGCATCGAAAAATTCTACATAATAATTTGATGTTACTATGTAATGAAGAGTTTTAAAACAACCAAAAGTGGGAATCTACATGCAGATGAAGTAAGCAGCGGATTCGAGTTTTTCTTAAACAGATTCACCTGACAACGTGTGTCAGATAGAACTCGATGAGTTTTATCAAACGATATGCCTAGATTTTGTACCAACGTCAGAGGACGTTTCATAGTTATCAAGAATTCTTTTTTCTCCATGGGAACAATTTCGCAGTGTAGCCATATTAGTCGGAGTAGGACAGTTCCATATTAGTTCCGTTCTTGGGAACTGTTTAATAGTTCTTCTGACCAGTTCATCCGAACTTGGAACTACGAATTGTCCTGCCCCTACATATTAGAATAAATTGATATAACTCGAAAAGAAAATATTGATGATAATATTGTGTTTATGTTATATTGAGCTAGATTATATTAATAAAATAATATTTTGCAAACAAGTTAATTCCAGTTTTTAATCTAACACGACACTAGATTCAGGTGATCTTACATTCCCATTTGGATTAACTTGATTTCGACTATAAAGAAACCATCGTTTACATCGACTCCAACATTTCTTCACCAAAACATGTTTCACTTGACGACGGAATCGAGCAGATGTTATCACAAATACATAAAAAGATGCCTAAACAAT